ATAAAACAAGATTAGCAAAATATGAATTATCTAACACAAAGTAGGTAATTTGAGGAGGGGAGGAGGGAGAGGGAGGGGTGGCAGATTACAGATTATGCCTATTATCGTGAATAACTTTTCTATTACATAATTTAAAGAATTTGAGATACGTCGCTGAACTACCTGCTGTCGGTTCAAATTTGAACCACTGATTCAAATTTAAATGTTTGACGCCCAAATTAACCCTATAGCGATAGGAGGGTGCCCCTGTGGTTTTTCGTTTTAACTTAAAAACGGCTTACACTAGAACGCTCAAACTTCTTCACTTTTTCAACTTCATAGTTTTAAACGAATTTTTCAAAAAAAAATTATTTTTGATGTACAGGCTAGGGTGGAGGGGGTCAAAAGGCTGGTCGGCGTTACTAAAAAGTCACTAACTTTTTTTATTAATTAAGGTACAGATCTGAAATATATGTAATTGAAAATCCTCGAAAAATGGTTGAATTAACATGTGTCACATAAGTTTTAATATTTGTCAAAAGTAAAATAAGTATTTTTCAACATTTTTCTGACATTGCATCCCTAACAATAAAGTTTAGAGGTCTAGTTTTTTTTTTATTTTAACTGGCCTTGAAAATTTCGAATTATCTGAAAGGGACTGTAAAGGAAAAATAAAAGGGGTTATAGAATGAAACCTGAGAATCTCAGGCGTTGAATGATACATTAAAGACATCTATCTGATGTTCCTTTCTCGATAAATTAATATGAAACTGTGTCAAAATTAAAGAAAATCTATATATATGAAATTTTGTATATAAGTAGTAGGTTTAAATAGATTATATTCAGCAAATATGCAAACAATCTGAAAACGATTATATCCCACAAAAACCTGAGAATCTTAGGTTTGCTCCCATTATACTTTTTTATTTTGCATTTTTAATAGATATAATTGATATCATGTTTTAAGTGTCCGTATTACGTCAAATGAACTTCCACCAATGATACTAAAGAGAATAGAATATATATTAGAGTGGAATTTAGACAATCCCTTGGTATGGATTTTGTCAGTCCCTTTCAGCCTGAAAGGGAGGTCAAAGTGTACATATCATGTAAATGTTCACAAATTGTATGGAGTAGAGTACGTTAGTACAGTATGTTCCCAAGACCAAGGTACTAATGTAAGGAAAGTTATTTCAGAGGTGTACACATTTTTTGTACTGCAGTGTACTGTATTTGGGCGAAAAAGTAAACACAAGACGGATGTCACAGCCTGACATGGAATCCATTTTCACAAAAATAATCTATGAAATATTCTGGTCAAAAAAAACTATTATGTGAATTATCAAAATTTTCAAAATTCAATGCTTAAGTGTATACCCTAACCTGCTGCCGACAACACCTCTCGCTTTCTGTCTCCAATACTAGAAATTCAGCTGACCAGCTGAGGTATGGCGGGAAATTTACTTCCAACACAATGAAGACCATTCACCAGCTCCAAGAGTTATGCAATGTTGGTGTAAACGCTGGCCTGGATTTGAAGCTTATTCTATGGACAAGGGATGGGGACGAGTTTTTTCTTTTTCTCGCCTTCCTGGATCCAAGCATTAGAAAACCAGGACTAGGAGCAGAAGATGGCGAAGTTTTGGAGGGGCGAGAAATACTCTAAAGGATGTGAGGTCCCCCTTACAGGCTGCAGGACCCTCCCAGGTGCGTGAGAGGTCCCATCTGCAGGTAGCTAGACCCCGCCAAGTGGATGAGAGTTCCAAACCGCAGGTAGCTGGACCCCCCAAGGTGTGTGAGAAGTCCCAACCGAAGGTAGCTGGACCCCGCCAGGTAGATGAGAGGTCTCAACCGCAGGTAGCTGGACCCCCCAAGGTGCACGATACAGGGTGTCCCACGAAACATGACAATAGCAAGACGACTTGAAAGTCGTCTTTGGTATTTGAATTTATTTGTGACATTTAGTCTTCTATCTACTTTAACATGTATGATTCTTGAAACAATTATCACATAAATTCTCCTAGCCCTGGCATTTCCAAAAAGTGGTCTGCGTTTTTTGTGCTTTCAATATTACCGGAGATATAAAGAGGTTGGTTCAGATTTCAATTTTGTTAAATAAAAGCAAAATTGTCGAAATCTGAACGAAATTCTTCATATCTCGGGCAATATTGAAAGCACAAAAAAGGCAGACCACATTTTGGAAATGGCAGGACAAGGGAAATTTTGTGATTATTATCTCTAGAAATTTACTTCTAAAATTAGGTTGACAAATAAACGCAGCAAATAATATCAAAAATCAAGACGACATTCAAGTCGTCCTGCATACTGTCATGTTTCGTGGGACACCCTGTAGGTCCCAACTGCAGGTAGCTGGACCCCGCCAGGTGGTTGATGAGTCACAACTGCAGAAATCAGAGTCCCCTCAAGAGAATGAAAGAAATCCAGCCCTGACTGTGAAAACCCCCTTGATGGAGGAGAGAATCTGCAGGAAAGGGTTAAGGCGCCGTTGCAATGATACAAAGTACTCAAATCCTCTTGTAAGAACCTTTCACTTCTTTTACACCCTCCTCCTTTATACCTCAGTTGGACGGTGAAAATGAACTTGATCCTGAACTTGATCCTGAACCTGATCCTGAACCTGATCCTGAACCTGATCCTGAACTTGATCCTGAATCTGATCCTGAACCTGAACAAAACAGCGAACCTAAACCAGAGCAGACCCTGAAACCCCTTATTAAAACCATTCCACCTGAGCTTAACCCGCGCCTGGCCTGAATCCTCCATCCAATATTGTGAATCCTATGTTTGGATTTTGTCAGGACACTACGTGTTCAATATTTCCCGATAAAACCACGGAAAAAATCGGAAACTATATGATGCCTGTTTTCCTAGCACAGATAAATCAATACCAGGATGTGAACGTGTACACTGGCATTCTAAGAATCAAAAAAACTAATATGTGGTAAAATTTCTTTGAGATAATTGTAAAACTTTATGAAATCTTTAATCTTTAATCACTGAAAAAATATTTAGATCTTAAAATTTCATGCTTTCAACCTCCTCGGATACTAAACAAACACTGATGCATCTATTCTTGTTTACAAAGTCCTCCCAGAGAGAACTGGTTTCAATATGTACGCACTACGCAGAGTATACGCGACCGCAATTAACTTTCCTTACATTAGTACCTTGCCCTAGACTATCCATTTCAATTTCGAATTTTTTAAATCTGTTAAATAAACTTTATAAAATGAATTAGGTGAATAAAAACATCATTTGATTTATAGTTATAACGGAAAATCATCGTTTGTAAAGTGAAAGGCATAGAGTCTATGTGAAATGATCATTGGTCNCTTAAGGAAGGGAGGGGGGGGGCACAAAATCAGACAATCCCTCTTAATACTGTGGTGTAAGCTTCAAGGGATGAAAAATATAGATGGAAACGTTTCTTAAAAAATATCTTTATTTTCATAGGATTGATACATATTGTATAATAAATTATAATATCAAATATATATTTACACTGAAGGCAGTATTAATTAAAGCTTTTTTAATGAAACTTTTTATTTATGGGCAAAAGTGAGATTTTTTATTTTTTTTTTTTTCTATAAGATGTAATTATACTTAAATGGAATACATGCGTAATTTCAAGTGACCCTCCATTTAAAGAGTGGCATGTCTGTCATAATGTGATATATATATATAATGAAACCGACCATAACCCCCTCCCCTTTCACACCTCTATCATACATCATGTTTATCTATACAAATATATTTATAAATCAATTAATTTCATGTTTGAAGATTTCACAAGATAGTTAGTTCCGCATTTCTTTTCTTATTGAGAAACCTAAACTGAAATTCAAACTGTTTTTATTATTTATAAATGTAATGTACAAAGCAAAATGTACATTTTAAAGTGTAAACTGTGAAGTTATATTAGTTTAAATGTTTTCGAAATATACCTATCTATATTTCAATTAAAATCAATCAGAATATAGTTTTGAATTAATTATGCATTTAAAAGTATTTTCTGGAAACTTTTTCATCGATTAACCATCGCTATAAGTGTTTTTTATTAATGACTTTTTAAAGTTCATTGCAAGTACTCTGAAATTTAGATGGAATTTAGTAAAGAAAAATCTATTTAAAAAAAATTGACGATGAGATAAAAAGTTTTTTTTAACTCTTTAAAAGATGTAAAGGAACTGAGTTTTTGCAACAAACTCAAATTTTTAACTTTAATATCTTCACAACCTGATGGTTAAAACCTTTGATATTTCAAACTTAGATTATTTGATCCATGACAGAATTCAAAGTTTGAAATATCAAATGTCTACAATATTGGGTTGTAAAGATATAGGGATTAGAAAATTCCTTTGAAGCCGAAAACATGGAAAATAAAAGGCTTAAGATAGAAGAAGAAAGCCAGCACTTCTTTAAGTTTAAAAAAAAATATTTTTTTTCCAAAATTGCAAGAAGGGACAGTCAACAAAAGAAGAAAAGGAAAATATGATGATAAGAAGTATAATAGAATATTTCTTTATATGATATGTACTCAATAATTTTAAAATGCATAATTTAATTTAAAATTTAAAAAAAAATAAGACTTTTTATCTAAATATTTCTACACCCTATTCAAATTTGATAATAAAATATTTTTGAAATGTCCAAAAATCGTCTCCCATGTCTTTGCTGTTGATGTCAACAGATTATTTTGCTCATATTCTCAACTTTTGATATAATTATTAACAATAAACTTAATTTACTCTTTTCAGGACGAAATAGGTTTAACCATTGATATAAAACATTACATATATTTTCCGCTATTCTTTCCCCCAGTGTTAAAATATTCAATTGAATTTCTTTCTCTCCTCTAATAATAATCAGACTGTAAGTAAACTATTTTTTTGCAAAAATAATGATCTTTGTAAATCCTTAGTTTGAAAATCTTAAACCTTTCAAACTTGTTAAAAGAGTTTCTGAAATTTCTCCCTTCGGAAAAATTACATTTACAGATTCCTTCAAAGTTTTGAATTGTAAAACATAAAAAAATGGGAAGGAAAAATCAAAAAACAAAAACAAAAAGGTATTCAGTTTATCAACGGATAGATTGGTTTCACAGTAGCGCCACCAACCTCTGATGCGGACAAGGTTAGAACTAAGAGAGGCACTTGCAATCTGCAGTCAGTCAGTCAGTCGATAGTAGGCCTTTCTGTTGGTAGCAACATAGTGAAGACGGTTCAGGCAGTATTTGTGTAACACAAACTCGCGCCCCCCTCTAGTGGAAAACTGAATTGATTCATAAAATTATTCTTTTTTGTGAACTAGAAAAAAGAAATATATGATAGTTGAATATATTGGATTGTCACCAACTAATACTCATATTTATCTATATATTATGATTTTTGCACAACAGTGTTATGTTGTATGATAAACGTCATTGCTGATCTAACCAAAGTAGTGCGTCAGGTTCAAATCTTACGCAGATTGCGTATCATAAAAACAAGGTGGTGCAAGAGAGTGGTTAATTAAAGAATGATTTCAATATAACCCCCCGGGATAATTCCCGTGGAATTAACTTGATAACAGAAATATGAAAACTTAGGCAAACCTTTATAGTAATATGATAATCTTTCACCAAGACTTTTATATTTTCGGAGAAACCGACATCAAAGACACAAAAAATTTCAAAAATTCAAAATTTAAATGCAAATTCTTTCTGTCCATTATTTATAAGCCATATTTTTGATTAAAAAAATGTTGACACATTTTAAAAATTCCAAACATGAATTCTAATCTAACTGGTTTGAATTGAACAGGAATGGCCCAGTCTCCCCCGCCTACCAGCCACAGGCTGGGCGGCAGATGCTTAATAACTGCCGACAATTTGGCGGACACTAAGAAGACCATGGTGGAGAATAGAATTAAAATGGCGGAGTCTAAAAGTAGAATGATAGATCCCACCACGAGACAGTTTGTTGTATCTGCTGAATGGAGTGCCTGTGCTCTGGATAAGCAAGGTTGCTTGAGTTTAGAACAAATATTAAAAAGCTTCTCTGCTCCAATCTCTGAAGAACACGCCTGGGCAATTATTCATCAGGTCAGTAAACGTCTGGTCTCTAATTCATTTATCTGAACAATACTCTTTTTACTATTTGAAACATATGTTTATCTGTATGAATTATATATATTTTACTAGCTTGGGAACCCAGATTTGACTGGAAACTGAACTTTCTCTCTAAAAGTCAAAACCGTCAAGTTAAAACTTTATTCAGCCTAACTTAGAAAACTCCTGTGCCTCTACTGGGTTACCCAATCAACATTTGAGGCAAATCGGTCAAGGGATTCATGAGTTCTGATCAGACATACAGTCAAACAAACAGAGACTGCAATTTCATAGAAACCTGCGAAATAATAAATTGTTCCTGTTTAATAGTTTACAAAGTAAAGAATTTAATATTTCGGTGGCAAAGTTAACTTATTGGAGAATTAAAAATGAGATTTTAAAAACCTATATTATACTTAGAATAAAAGATTTATAGCGGGATATATTTAAAGTGCTATTTAGTGTCTATAATATTTTAAAAACCTATATTATACTTAGAATAAAAGATTTATAGCGGGAAATATTTAAAATGCTATTTAGTGTCTTTAATATTTTTAAAAACTACAATTGATTGAATATATCTGAAATAGTTTTAATCTTCATTCTTTAATATTTCCTTCAAAGAAAATACATATTTGTTGTGAAATATTTAGTTGACAAAACACTTCATTGTTCATTGATTTTAAGATTTATAGACAAGTCGTCATTATCTATATATAAATTTGGCTTGTCTGTCTGTTTGTCTGTTTTGGTGTTTGTTTGTTTGTTTGTATCCAATAAACGTCAAAACGGCTGATCGGGCCCAAATTTTTTGTGGGACATCTAGGGACCCCAGGGAAGGTTTATGAATGATTAAAATTTCAAATATTTTTCTCCATCAAAATTCGATCTTCATTAAATTTTTGAAAATTTTGAAAATCCACGGAATTTTTTTTTAAAATCTGCGAATTATTTTTGTTTTGTTTTACGATGTACACAAAGAGAACATGTTCACAATTAATTTAGAAGATGGGCGCGAAGCGCCCTCTAAGGCTAGTATTCATATGTTTACCGTGTTCCCTGTATAGTTTTTATACCAAGAATAATGCAAGCTTTATAATTCAAGAAAACGTTGATTCAATTCAAATATTTCCAAACAATGTATTGCATTTGGATATATTTAAATAATCTAAAAATGGAAAAATTATTTGTATGCCTGATTTACAACATGCAACGCCATCTCCCCCTTTCAGCCTTCAACCTGCCTGCATCTTAAATGCAGAAAATGGGAAATTAAATTTTTTGTGCAATATGCACGTATAAACCTCCCTTTATGATTTATTAAACTTTTAGAATATATAATGTTAACGGTTTGTCTTATTAAATGCAGTTTATTTTTACTCATACGGACACCCAATTGTACATGCTTGATATGGCTTGAATCATGCAATGTTTTTATAAGAAAATACATGTGGTGTGAATTTGATGGACTCTGCACTGCTAACCTTTGCTCGCATATATAGCTCCTTAATTCTTTGCTATTGTATTTCAGACTGTATCCATCTAATCAAAGTTGTTAGAGAGGGGTTTTAATTTGTGTATTTTATAAAGTAAACTTTTGTCTATCTGTTAATATATCTATTAAGAATATTTCTATCTTTCTATCTAACACGTTATTATGATGCCCGTTCTGACCGACTAACCCTGTATTTACAAACTCAAATTATTCCTTTTTATTTTGCAAACTTTGGAAAATTGCATATTGTAGTGTAAAAATAAGCAAATTTAAGTCTTTATGTGCAATATATTCTAAATTAGGCAAAAAATTTAAGGAATTTAAGAGTCCACACTTAAAAATACAGAAGCACTTGGTGCAGCGAATTTATCTTGCATGCATACTTGAGCATTGAGCCTTAATGCATATTGTTTCAAGACAAAAGTTATTCAAATATGAATATGTAGATTACCTTTATTTAATTCACTTATGAAAGTACAAAAATTGAACCGATTATATACACCTAGTGCGATATGTTCATAAATGGTAAATCAGCATGCAACATGCAGCAGAACAAACTGTTCTAGGTCTTTAAAGACCAGTGTTTTTTATAAACCTTGGAAGTAAATAAAATATGAGGTGTTGCAGTTAAAGAACAAAGTCTAAGCACTTGTATGGTTCATCATACTATTTAGGAGTTGGTATTTTTTAGACACCATGCATGGTTTGGAATTGTAAAAGATCTAGTTTTCACTTTAGATTATTATAAAAACATGGTCACGGATGATGACAATAAAAATAATAACAATGGCGGGTTCCATGTGACACATTCTTTACGTCGGGCTCTATATGGTTCCAGGGGATAAACCACAAAAAATGGTTTAATCCCGTTTCTTTAGTCAGGAGGAGGAGAATGGAACTTTGTGCAAGGCAGGGTGTCCAAGGAGCAGGGCTTAGATCAAAATAAAACTCTACTATAATTTTTTAAATTCTGATCAAGTAAGAATACTAACTTTGTGAGTTCTGTAATTTACATTTTTATACCAAAATAAAAAGATACGATACACGTTCTGTGGTTGTAAATTGTGATTTTTTTTAAGTAAAGAACTTTTTGGAAGGGTAGATAGGATGAAATATGAATAAAACGAACATTAAACGTGTTCCGGGGTTTAGGGGCTAACATTGTAAAGGGGAGAGGGGGTGGGAAGGATCGGAGTGAAACTATATCAGTCGAAGTGTTAGAAGGTCAAAGAAATAAAAAATCGGAGACCCCAAAGCACCCTCGGGAATCATTGCCTTGGGACCTGTCACGATTCTTGGTTTACGCAAATACACAGAGATAAATTCTCAGTTACGCAGATATATGAGTAGAGAAGAATATTAACTCTTCAAAATCAATAACAATAAATCTTAATTTCTCGTTTTTAAAGTTAAAATTGCTCAATTTTAATATTTGGTTTGGTAAAGAATGTTTACGAGTATGAAAATACGAGTTTATGTTTTCTCTGAATTTATGTGGGTGCAGAGATTGGTATTTAAACAATACTCTATACACCCACTTCCCCCTCCTCCACTCAGTTCAAACTTTTCACTTTTGTATGCCCCCCCCCCCCCCNATCAACCCTTTATAATTCTCTTGATCAACCCTTTATAATTCTCTTGATCATCCCTTTAAATTCTCTTTATCATCCCTTTATAATTCTCTTGATCAACCCTTTATAATTCTCTTGATCAACCCTTTATAATTCTCTTGATCATCCCTTTAAATTCTCTTGATCAACCCTTTATAATTCTCTTGATCAACTCTTTATAATTCTCTTGATCAACCTTTTATAATTCTCTTGACAACCCCTTTATAACTTCCTTAATTAACCCTTTATTAGTTCCTTACTCAACTCTTATACAATTTCGCTAATCTCCTCTCCCTTGTACGTAGTTCCGGTTTATTCCGGAAGAAGATTTGTGATTTGAAGAGACGTATATCCTGTAAACCAGGAACATGAAACCAATACTTTTTGAATTTTCTATGGGAGTGGCTTCTTTATTGCACAATTCATGGCAGGGGGAAGTTTGAATAAATGTCCATGCAAAGGAAGGGGTAATCTATTGAGAGAAAATTATCTGGAAAATGATCAATAGTTATTTTGGTAACGTAAGAGATCTGAATAGAATAGTATAATAAAGATTTTTACAAGGTGGGGAGTTGATTAGTTCTAAAAAGCCCTGAGATGGGTTCAGTTTCCTTGATGAAGATTACAATAGATAAACAAAGAATTGATTAACTGTAATTAGTCCTTGGACTAACCTTGCAAGTTCAGCTTTGCATTTAATTAATAGAATAAAAATATATTGGCAATATAAATCTCTTTTGTTATGAAGGGACAATTTTACCGTTCTTTTATCGTTCTTTATTTTAAAACCTTTCAGTCTTTTAAAAAACGATAACTTTCCGAATTTTCTCATCGTATCAAACATATTTAATAAAAAATGGTTTTTTAACAAACTTGGTCTAGGTTTGTAAATATTTGTATTCAGTTCTATAAGGAAAGCAGGATGAGTCATGTAGCCACGTTACTACTGGAGTAGAACGAACTTTCAAGGTTCTAGAACAAAATAGAATCAATAAACGTCCCTTTGTTTAGCTTTTTTCTACCTTTTCTCTGCGTAAATCATTGATTTTTTTGACAAGTGTTACACTCTATAAATGTATATATGGTGTTGTAATTTGATACAATTTATCTTATCAGATTATTTTTGTTACAAAGATTTGCATCATATGCCATATTAACAATTAAAACTTTTACCTTTCAAAATTCTCCTTCAAAACATTCTGATTTTTTATGATTTGAGAGTTTCTTTTGAAAACATTTATTTCGGTTTGATAATGAAGACGACATTTTCATATTTTCCAGGAATGTTAGAAAAATCCAGCGCCAGCCGTGAAAACAAGTTGTAAGCGAAATATTAATTTTAAAAAAATCAAAAATATTATGAAATATCAATCATATACGAATGCGTATTATCGATGATAATAGGTTGTAATATCTGAATTATGTGTTTGGAATTAAATTGATTTTTTACGACCCGAGTAGAATGCTGTAACTTTCCGAATTTGTATGGACGCAACGTTCTTCGATATGAGTCGTTTTTAACAATTTTCTCCTTATAAACGCAACAGATAGAAGTAAGATTAGTAGCGATCACCACCGATAATATTTTGCCAAGTTGCCAACACTCCCTTTAAGACTTTTTATGATATAGAAACGAAGTTGTGGTTAAATATTTGAACATATTATTTTGAGAAGCGATGAAAGCAGTAAAGGATTGATAAGTACACAGTCAAAAAAAACGTAAAGTTTTTTTGACTGTCTATTATTGATTGTCTGTTTATAGCTTACATGTTTAAACCCCTAAGTCGGGAACTTTTGAATTGAAGGAACTGATTTTAAAAGATTAGAATTAGTTGAACTAATTCTATTTTCGCGGGGATTAACAGATTTCTCACTTTATGCAATTCTCCAAATTTAACCCACCCAGGAGAAAATGGCATTTTCTCATTTGAGTCTGATTAAACCATTTCCGTTCATACAAAAGTTGCCAGCTCTGCCAGCTCTATAATATATTCCGTATTTGTATTGTGACTAACAACGTTTTGAAGTCGGTATATAAGTAAACAAGCCCAAAACAGGTGTTTTCAGGTATTATGCATTAGGCTGAGAAAGGGAAATATTTACCTTTTTTCATCCTTGGTGTTCTATTGTACTAATATTTTTCATCATAAATAGCGAGGGAGCGGAAGAGAATATTGGATAAAGGACGGAATGAAAACGATAAAATGCATCATAAATTTTAACAGCATCTGTTTCTATGTTTTCTTTAAAAGAAAATGAGTCTTTGTCACATACTCAAATTTTTCAACCCCTATATCTTTGCAACCTGTTATTGTAAATTTGTGATATTTCAAACTTAGATTACTTTATCTATCAGAATTCATAGTTTCAGAATTCAGAATTCTAAGGTTCACGACATTGGGTTGCAAAGATATACGAATTAGAAAATCATAGTTTGTGGCAAAGACTCAATTCCTTTACATAAAACGGAAAGGTCCTTGTTATAAACATCAGTATTCTCGTACTAATAATGACGGGAAAAATATATAGAAAATGTTTTCTTAAACACTTAAATTCCTGGCACTTAAATACCTTCTTAACACCGTCTGCAAGAAAGTGTTAATGGTATGCAGAGGACAAACTTCAAATATTTGTCTATTTACGATATTTACAGTACTATCGATCCTTTAGCGACTAAATGCTCGTAACCTTTTATACTTGTATTAAAATGTTAATGAGTAAATTTTTCTTCTCTCCAAAATTAGTCTTTATGATTCCTAAAAAACTTGAAATGTGTATATATGTTTTTTGGGTTTTCGATGCAATCTGTATTTTGGACATTTAGTCAATCTTTTGTTCATTAAATTCCATATATTTTTTTCTTTTTAATCGTTGTTTTATATTTATTTTCTTTTTGGTCTTCACATATTGCTTCATTAAACCTTGTCTTATACTTGATTAGGTTTCTGTCTCTTCATTTATTTCTTTAATTTTAGAGTTTGGTTTGCTTATCCCGTCTCTTGGAGAACCTGGTGTCAAACCCTCTTCTTCATCTCGTTACCTCAACCTCGGATATACTTCTCAGGTACCTGGTTCATGTACATATATTCTTCTCAAGTAGCTGGTTCATATACAGATATACTTCACAGGAACCTGGTTCATATAAAGATATACTTCTCAGGTACCAGGTGGTATACTTCTCAGGTACCTGGTTCATATACAGAAATACTTCTCAGGTACCAGGTTCACATACATATATACTTCCCAGGTACCTGGTTTACATACATATATACTTCTTTGATACCTGGTTTATATACAGATATACTTTTCAGGTACCAGGTTCATATACATATATACTTTTCAGGTACCTGGTTTACATACTTATATACTTCTCAGGTACCTAGTTCATATAGATATACTTCTCAGGTACCAGGTTCACATACATATATACTTCTCAGGTACATGGTTTACATACATATATACTTCTCAGGTACCAGGTTCACATACATATATACTTCCCAGGTACATGGTTTACATACAGATAAAATTTTCAGGTATATGGTGTACATACAGATATACTTTTGATGTATGTTTCTCCTAGGTTTATATATTGCTATATATTTTACCTTACAAAAAATGTTTGTTGCTTTAGTTGTTTCAAAACCCCCCCCCCCCCCTGGTAAACAAGATCATGAATGCCGGCGTTCTGTGTACTCTATATCTTAGCATTCTATCTTGGTACACAGCTCTGTAATTGACATCTAAAAATAACTGCTTCTCCTGGTATAAACAGCTACGTACTAGTTTATCTATACTGTATGCTGGTCAAAATATGCACAACTGAGATCTGGAATCGAGGGATGATTGTGATGTATTGATTATTTACATTCAGAACTTACAGAAAGTTACTTCAAGTAGAGCTTAAAGATACAAAATTTACAAATTGAGAAAGTTTTTAAAACTATTTATTTTCTTCAAAGAACCATCAACCCCAATTTTTTTATCAATATTTAAGCATAAATTCATGATCCATCAGATCCAATTTTAAATTTTAATAGCGTATTCGTAAAAAGAAATAAGAAACAAACCTTTTTTATTCAAATGGGAAAAAAGTAAAGTTTTTATGATATATAACGCAATTAATTGCGTTGTAGTCTAGCCGCTTAGTGCATTAACAAAGCCTGTTCTCACCACTTAGAACAAAGAATTTTGTTACAAAAAAAATATGATTTATCAACGAAAATAAATCTATACCATGCATAAATATCATTTTTATTGTAAGAGGAATTTTTTATAAGTGTTACGACACCGAATAATTTATATGGATTTAATCATTGAAGTGTATAAACTAAAAACATTAAAAGCATTGAAAAACATTATTATTTTCATTAGAAGCTCCATAATTTAGTTATAACCATTAACGGTTTTATGTGTTTTTTTTAAAATGAAAATGATTGAACTATTTTTAATTCTAGTTCCGATGGAAGTGTGGACGAGAAAACCTACAGTTTACCAGGAAACGGAAGAAAACGAGCAGTACGAGAAAACAAGGTGAATAGAATCTTAAATCAAATTAAAACCAGATTGCACAGATAAGACATCACACATGTGGGGTGATAAGCAGAATTTTACTCTAAACGGTTATTACGCACAAATGTTACACAACTTATACCACAATTATCTTGTCCAAACTGCTTTATCCGTGTCCGATATTTAAATGAGTAATATGAAACAAATATCTATTTCGAAAAACAAGTATAAATGTTATCTCTAGTTGCCATGATTGGCAACCTATAAGAAGTATATGTTTAGTCAATCATTTGCTTTTTCGTTGTTTTATGAATAGGTTTTTGTTTAAGAAGTAAATGAAATTTTTCTAAATCTTAAATACTCCAATCCTGATTAATGATACTAGGTTTATTATTGATTAGCTTGGGAACCCGGCGCTGCCAAGGTTACTAACAGTTACTCAAGCCGTATATTCGCACTTGAACGATTTTACCGGGAATTTTTTTTTTCGCTTTTAAAGTCGACCCACTCAACTTAGAATTTCAAACCCAAGCTAAGAACATTCCTGTGGGTCTCCCGCGTTCCCCAATCAAAATTTGGGGCAAATCTGTCCAGGGGTTCCTAAGTTATGATTGGACAAACAAACAGACAAACAGAGATTACAACTTTATATATATATATACTATACTATAAATATCAATAATGAGAATGATTTGATGGAATGCAATGCAAGTCCATGAGTGGCAGAATATAATATTTACATTTGATTTTTTGTTGTGAATTGGAAATTTTTCTATTTGAATGCATGGAAGGTCATTTGAAATTACGCGTACAGTCCCTTTAAGATTAGGAAATGCTCTCTTTGAATAATGGATAATATAAGTTTCAAAAAAGACTGGCCGAGATAATCTTTAAAAGCTTGAAGCATGCTTCGCTTCATTGAATCTCATTAACTCTAAATAATAGGATCAGATACAGACTTGAAGTAGAGGGGTTTAATCAACCAGCTATTACTTGTCTAATCGGATAAGAGAATGTGAAACAAAAAAGTTAAATTTTCACACCTTTCAATAGGATAACAAACAATATATATAAGAAATAATATAATCTAAAATATGGAACATTTTAGGCTTTAAGATTGTTAAAACTCTGATTTCTAAAATCAAGATTTTAAAAAGAAGCAAACTGTATGTTCTATTAAAAATCTAGTTCATTAGAAACATATTGTAGAAATAAAAATTTGGCTCTAAAGAAAGGTCTAAAACCTACATAATAACAACCCCCCCCCCAAAAAAAAAAAAAAAAAAAACACAAACCGAAGTTTAAAAGTTTAAATTTTCTTCATGTCCCCCCCCCCTTACTCCCCTCTCAAGGTTCAGTGTTAATTATGAAATTAGCTTAATTAAATCACCTCAATGTGAGAAAAAAATGAAAAAAATTGCAAAACTAATTTTGTCTTGTATTGTTGTTACGTTTAAATATTATAATTATAGATAAAAACGCCATTAAGGTCAAACCAACATAATGTTTCATAAAATAGAAAATTTGGATTTTTTCGTTTAATTTAACATCTTCACACTTAAACAATCAGCACCTATCTCTCTACATTTAAACAATCAGTACTCGCCTCTTTACACTTAAACAATCAGAACCCGCCTCTCTACACTTAAACAATCAGTATCCACCTCTTTACACTTAATCAATCAGTACTCGCTTCTCTACACTTAAACAATCAGTACCCGCCTCTTTACACATCAGTACCCGCCTCTTTACACTTAAACAATCAGTACCCACCTCTTTACATTTAAACAATCAGTACCCGCCTCTTTACACTTAAACAATCAGTACCCGCCTCTTTACATTTAAACAATCAGTACCCGCCTCTTTACACTTAAACAATCAGTACTCGCCTCTTTACACTTAAACAATCAGTACCCGTCTCTCTACATTTAAACAATCAGAACCCGCCTCTTTACATTTAAACAATCAGCACCCGCCTCTCTACATTTAAACAATCAGTACTCGCCTCTTTACACTTAAACAATCAGTACTCGCCTCTTTCCACTTAAACAATCAGTACTCGCCTCTATAGACTTAAACAATCAGTACTCGCCTCTCTACACTTAAACAGTCAGTACCCGCCTCTTTACACTTAAACAATCAGTACCCACCTCTTTACACTTAAACAATCAGTACCCGCCTCTTTTCACTTAAACAATCAGTACTCGCCTCTATAGACTTAAACAATCAGTACTCGCCTCTCTACACTTAAACAGTCAGTACCCGCCTCTTTACACCTAAACAATCAGTACCCACCTCTTTACTCTTAAACAATCAGTACTCGCCTCTCTACACTTAAACAATCAGTACTCGCCTCTTTACACTTAAACAATCAGTACCCACCTCTTTACTCTTAAACAATCAGTACCCGCCTCTTTACTCTTAAACAATCAGTACCCGTCTCTTTACTCTTAAACAATCAGTACCCGTCTCTTTTATGTTTTCACATCTTTCATTAATGTTGTTCAACTGCAAACTGGCCAGAAGGAGAAAGGTCTGGGACATTACTTTTTGACGTTTTGTTTTTCGATCGATTTATACAAGAAAAGTATGAGTAAAACAAAATTATTCGGTAAAATATTAGAAATTCAAAACATATTCTTATTCTTCTTTATAGCTCTTTAATAATAGGAGTCATGATTTTGTCTCCAATTTACTTGAGTTTATCGTGGTTGTTGGGATCCAATAAACCTGAACCGATCGGAACAAATTCAAAAGATTTAGATTATTAAAACATTATGGACTTTTAAAAACAGGAAATAAAAAAGGTTAGTTTATATGTTTTATAATGTGCAGAGGTAAAGTTAAAACTTGAATGTGTATTAAGGTTTAAGAACCTTGGTATCTAGTATCCACTATTTCCTTGTATACCTCGCAACTAATCTTTATTGAGAGGAATCTCTCTCAAGGTGGGAATTATTGACGCATAACCTTGAACTGTAAAATGCGTAAATATATGCACTCTACACACCTGGACGCGTGCTTAATTAAAATTGAAAATTAGTTTTGACATTTAAGACTTCCCTCTAGCTTAGTGATGATTTTGCGCCCTATACTTTATATATATATGGTCACTGGTTTAAAGTATGTAGTATGTATGTGCAATAAATGTGTATATATATATATACTTATATATATATGGTCACTGGTTTAAAGTATGTAGTATGTATGTGCAATAAATGTGTATATACATATATACTTATATATATATGGTCACTGGTTTAAAGTATGTAGTATGTATGTGCAATAAATGTGTATATACATATATACTTATATATAGATATGGTCACTGGTTTAAAGTATGTAGTATGTATGTGCAATAAATGTGTATATACATATATACTTATATATATATGGTCACTGGTTTAAAGTATGTAGTATGCATGTGCAATAAATGTGTATATACATATATACTTATATATATATGGTCACTGGTTTAAAGTATGTAGTATGTATGTGCAATAAATGTGTATACATATATACTTATATATATATGGTCACTGGTTTAAAGTATGTAGTATGTATGTGCAATAAATGTGTATATACATATATACATATTTTTCTAAAATTTCTTTTAATTTAAGTAGTTATATTTTACATACAAAGGATATTATGTGTACATTAGATATGTATTTACACGTTAAAGTTTTGGAAAAGAATACAAACGTTATGTAAATAAACAAAATTACTGCAACTGAACATAACTGTATTTTTTATTATTTAAACTACCCATGGTATTGTATAAATTTATCTGATATCCACGCATAAATTATTAATTCCAATAATAATCTGCATAGATCCATTTTAATTGTTTAGCAACACCAGCGTCGATTAATTTATATTTGACAGTGGAGCACACTAAGTTCCGTTTTATTTGTGAATCTATATTCCTCAATATATTACACATATTTATTAAATGCGATAGTGCATATCAACATTTGAGATACAGATTTCGTAGGAAAAAAAGCAGATAAATAGAGAAGAAATTTTATACATAGATAGATATAAATAGATAGATAGATATAAATAGATAGATATCTTATACGATGCCCATTATTTAAATGACAAGAAAGCTTTGGAAGATCAGAATGACACGAAGGCTAAAAGGCTATAAGCTATAAGTTAATTTGTATGCTAGTTTCAAACGTTTAAGTGATTGCATGTAACTAGTAAGGTACAGAAATAGTAAATAAAAATGTACAGATAGCTTAATATTCAGAGATAATATTGTTTTATGGACTTGGACTTGTTCCAGACTGGTGTGGGAGTATAAGAAGGGTAGATATGAGAAAGTTAAGATAAAGATTGATTAAGACGAGTAAAAGTTGATGAATGTGAGAATATGTAATATTTATCTTTCGACAGATCTGTGACCAGTATACAGGATACAGGACACAGGATAGATAGGATACACCCATATATACAGGGTGTACTTAACTTTGGAATCAGAATTAATTCTATGGGTCAGACATTATACTACTTTTTATAATTTGATTATTTCAACCATACTAACCTAACCTTAAAGGTGACTGTCGAAAAAAAGTTACCCAGGACCATAAATTTTAAGATTTGGAAACCTTATCTATAAAGAAACCCTTTAAAACTTCGTCCGAGCAAAAGTGATGGAGATATTTTTTTTTAATCTGTAAAATTGATCATCCTCAATTGTGGTTTAAAAATAAAGAGTACTAGGCGGAGATATTAAAGAGAATTTGCATAATTTAGCACGTTTCAAGAAGGAAAAAAGATTTATTTCTCAGTGTTGCTTCCGAAAGACATTGTTGTGAATACACCGTGCATTGCAACTACACATTTTTCGGGTCACTTGGAACTACGTTGACTGCCCCTCAAACCTACCTTATATTATCATAATTAGTCATTTTCATTTTAACTAACTTCTCAGTCTTTCCAAAGAAAGATACTGATAAATGCTTTCATTTAAATCTTTCAGCAATTTTTTCTGAGACACCCTTTACAATAAGTATAATTTACGTTAGAACAAGAATATTGGTTTTGAAGGAGTAGATAACAATCTTAACTCTAACCTTCCAACCCATCCCTCCCTGATGATTGCATCATGCAATATTAAAACCAGGAAACCAGAAGATTATCATTATACTTTAGGTTTGACATTTGCTGGGTTAGATTATCTACTGTTATTTTATCACCATGTTTGAGATGGTTTCTTAAAGTTAAAGTTAAAGTTTGAAAAAATTAACCCACGAAAAAGTTTTTTTTAACGAAGTACGTGCAGTTAGTCAGCTGATACCTGAATACCTCATTTTGGATTATATTATTTTATATGTTAATATAATCATCAATTTTTTGATTGTAAACTCTATCTGTATACAGATACATTTATTTTAGCAATAAACGTTATCTTATCTTATCTTATATATTGCATCGATTCAATTTTACTCATCTTTTTTTGTAAGAGTAAAATAGAAAATTGTTGCCAGCTAGTTAAATAATTTGTATATCTGAGCTGAGCTAAATGGCTAAGCCAATCATTTCTTCCTCAAAGCATAGTGTCTGAATAAATACATTAGCTATCATATCTCATCTACAGCTTCGGGCAAAGGAAGTTTTTGTTTAAATATTTTGATTTGTCTATCCAACATCTATAGAGTTATTTCCTTTCTTGCTTAGTATGGCATCTATCTATCTGTCTGTAGCTATCATACAATCTATTTGTATCTTTAAACTGTCTATCGGTATTTAACTCTCTATCTATCGGTATCTAACTTTTTATCTGTCAGTATCTAACTCTCTATCTGTCAGTATCTAACTTTCTACACTGTTAGAAAAACATTTCTTCCAAATCTGGTAAAATGCTGTCGAAGAACAAATAGGTTCCATGAAAACCACTAAAAAAACCTCCCATTACTTATATTTATTGTCACACTTCTTATAATTAACTTGACCAGAAAATGTTACTGTCACAGGAAATATATTNGTCCTGGGCAAAAGTTAAACAAAATTATTTTTAAATCCTAATTTGTAGTATCCATATGAGAACAAGAAGATTTGGAATGAAACTATAGCCAAAAAGTAATACTCTATAATTAGTTAATTAAACAAAGGTAAAATATTTTAACTAAAATAAACAAGGAGACCCCTTAGGTACTTCTGTAGATAAATTACATTTTGTATTTTTTTATTTCTTTACAGACCATTACAGATTTAACACAACCACACCCTCATTCCTCAGTCTAACTTCTAACCCTCCCATCCCTTGTTATTTCCCTCCAGCTCCGTCCTCTACCCCTCTTTTCTACCATTCTCTAGACCTACTTTTGCCTTCCTTCCTTTAAACATCTTTACCATTCTTTCACCATCCCCTCTCATTCACCTTCCATCATCCTCAATTACCTTCCTCTTTTTACCAAATCTGCTAGTATCTATCTAACCTCTTCTTTTGCTCTTCTTAAAAATTTACTTATACCCCTACTCCCCCCCCTCTCTACCTTGCCCTCTACTTAGTACACCCCTTGTCATTATTTCCTTTCAAAACATAGAGCGTCCACCCCTATCTACTTCCTGTTGACTTGTTGCTTCCTTCCTTTTTGTTCGACAACCATCTTGTTGTATACAGTTAAAGCTAATGGCTAGAGAAGCTACAGAAATATAATAAATAAAGGGAAAAAAATGAGGGATGAAGTAAAAGAAGGAAACTATGCTACCTACTACCCTTATGATACCCACCCCCACTTAATTCGAATAAATGAGACTGTAAGCGTCATTTCAAGAGACCCTCAATAGCAAATATGAGAACGGTTCCAAACCTTTATCTGATAAATAAAATCGAAGAAATTGTTGTTTTTCAAGGTTTAAAAGTGTTGAATTGTGATAATTCCTAAATGTTTCTTGCAGTAGAAATGTGCAAGTCACTTCTGCAGAGAAACCACAATTGAAAATAATAAATATTCAAAATTATAAATATTGATTTCTAATTCATACTTGTAAGACAATTCTTTGGGAATCGAGCATTGTCATATTTGCCCTTCCATGCGTTTTCTCCCAAGAAATAAGGATTGAAAAAAAAATTAAAATATCAGTATTCCTTTTCACTTGTATAACTATTTTCCAGTTCTCTCTCCATGAAGTAATTGCTCATCCTGCCCCCTACCCTCTCACTATTACCCTGTCATCCCCCCCCCCCATATAAGCATTATACATACACTCTCTAACCCCTGGGTAAGAAATCAATGAGAATAAATTATTCTAGGAATTGTATGAAATTACAGTTTAATACGTAGACACATACAAACATTGAACATTAATAGATAAATAGATAGATGAATAGTTAGATAGTTAGATAGATGGATGAAGAGTGACCATGTTCATAATAAAAGAAAAATATCTTCAAAGAAAGGTTTATGTAAACTTATGAATGAAAAGAAGAATATTCGTGTAAGAAAGAAAAACATCCATGTGACGTACGATCAGTCTAACATAAACAAAACTTTTTATAATACGATGAATTAAATATATTGTAGATTGTCGCTGAGCTTGGAGTTGTAATCTTTAATGGGTTAGATTACGGTCTCAAACTAGATGAGGAGAGACAACTCAGTCCTGCCCTGGAGAATATTATCGACCTAATGACCTCAGCAGGTAGGTTTTATAATATTTGGTTATTGGAAAAAAATCCAAGTATTTTATTTTTTAAGTCATTTTTCTAGATTATAATTTTCCAACAGCAACCATTTATTAAATGGCAAAGTGGCAACTGTAAAAGTACAGTTTTGTATTTAATAAGTACAGTTTTGTATTTAATAAGTACAGTTTTGTATTTAATAAGTACAGTTTTGTATTTAATAAGTACAGTTTTGTATTCAATAAGTACAGTTTTGTATTTAATAAGTACAGTTCTGTATTCAATAAGTATAGTTTTGTATTTAATAAGTACAGTTCTGTATTTAATAAGTATAGTTTTGTATTTAATAAGTACAGTTCTGTATTTAGTAAGTACAGTTCTGTATTTAATAAGTACAGTTTTGTATTCAATAAGTACAGTTTTGTATTCAATAAGTACAGTTCTGTATTTAATAAGTACAGTTTTGTATTTAATAAGTATAGTTTTGTATTTAATAAGTATAGTTTTGTATTTAATAAGTATAGTTTTGTATTTAAGTACAGTTCTGTATTTAATAAGTACAGTTTTGTATTTAATAAGTACAGATTTGTGCTGAAATATGTGTTAAGCAATGATTTACAGAAGTAACACGAATATGCATGAGCACAATAGTACAATTACGAAAAATGAAGCCAAAATTTTCTCTCGGTGAAACATCTAATTTTTGCCTGTTTTTGTTTATTGACTAAATTGGTCTCCTTGTATGGTTTTCCTACTATTTATAGCTTTCGTTAGTTGGCATTTATTTATAAAGATGGATTGTTGAAATAAAATCAATTTTAAATTTGCAAAGATTTCCAGTGTTTTGCCTAGAGCTGTCTGATCCTTGCAAAAAGTATGCAGAGAGCCTGGAAAGGTCTGCAATTACTTAAAATTATACTGCTGCCAGATTTTAACCGCGAAATTTACAAAATTCCAGTAAAAATCTTCCAGCTTTGAATTATGTCGGACCGCGCCAAATCTGTTCAAGAATTGACTCGTAACAAAAAATCAAAATTAGTATTTTGATTTTGTTCTATGTAAATATTTGAATACTTAAATGTGAAAAAATTAAAGCCGACTTTTTAAAAATTAATACTTTCAAGTAATAAAGGACCTCGTGACCTCCTTACCATTAAATGCAACCCTTAGTAAAAATGGAAGATTTAAGACAATAAGACAATGAATTCAAAGTTCCCGCAATCTGAAGAGCAATTGTCTAAGCCCTTTATTGGCCCGGAGCTTTTGAAAACCGGTTAAAAATTTGCTCTTTTGTCTAGCGCCATTTTTTAGTATTCAGGTCAGATGTGCAGACAAAGACAGGCCGGCTTATTTTATTCACAAATCTGCAAAATTGGTCTGCACAGTTTAGGCAGATCTGAGAAAAGGGCGNGATAAGAATATACAATGTATATTTATGAGTTCTCAGTATAGATTTCTATAAATAATTCATCTGGATAATACAGTTTTGTCCTGGATTAAACCTGTAATACAATACTACACCTTGTAAATAAAGATGTCTGATCTATACAATGCTAAACATATTTTCTTTTAATTATATAAACAAGACGTCCTCAGTCTCCAATATGTTTCCTAATATTAGGAGTAAGAGATAGTGTATTTAGACTGTTTAATGATTTTAATCAGATTTGAAGAAAAACTATCCAAACTGTCAAGATTAAACGTACTCGAAGTATTTGTGCGATCTATCAAGATTTTCCAATAAATCGGTATTTTTAATGAATATCAAAGATTTGATACAGGCATAAATATCGTAATAATCGTTTAATTCATGAAATCTGAGTATCATTTCATTAAACTTTTTTAGACGAAGGGTTGGATGATACCTTTGATACTGACGATGAGGGGATAGAACGAGATGAAGATGACGCTAAAGGTATAAAATATATATACATGAACCCTAAACAATAACAAACCAAAAATTATCTAATTAAATTATTGTACATATTTTTCAATAATTCAGATGTTTGTTTAAGTCCTAAATTTCTAATGTAGCTCAAGATTTCCTTCGATTTGTTTCGATTTTTATCTTAAATTATCTTAAAACTATAAATACGTACAATTCTACATTTTAGATAAATCTGCTGCATTTACAGATAAATCTGGAACCAGTTTAACGCTTATTAATCTGTGCAGGTAATACGTCATTTCTTTTATTAAACATCTATTTATAGTCTACTTATTTTATAAATGTGTGTATTGTACACTGAAAAAAAACTGTTTTCATCCAAAAAATGGTACTTAAATGGTGCTCCAATCTCTGCATAAGAGAATATAAGATTATAAACTATTGTTTTTTTTAAATTTTCGACCAAAAACTGCAAAAAAAAGCATTGATGATATCTTTTTCGTATTTTCAATAAGGATTTTTTTAAACATGTAGTTTCTTCTTTAATTCAATGATTTCTAGAATTTGATTTGATTAAATGTATCTGTGCAGGAATCATCTAGCATTGCCGACTGAGTCTGAATCCCACTTTAAGGCTGTTTGCAGAGCTTTGGTATCTGAAGCTCTAGAATTATCATTTTTCATGGAGAAGGTAAACAATGAAAATATTTACATATTCCACTACAAACTATGTATTTTATCATAACTCAAACCTTTTTTATGAGCTACTTGAACCTAGAGTTTGTTTACAACTTTTTGTGGTACATTTCAAACATCAATCGAATAGCTCTGATTTGTAATAAGAAACTTGTCTGTCGATAAAAATTAGATATTTGTTATATTTATGCATCCTCACTGCCTCAGTATATACACTATACAGTCTAAAGACTTTAAATTTGTTTAAAGCTAAGAATAGTAACTAAAGAATTGGTAAAGTAGATGGTGAAATATAAGAAGATAGGACCAGGAAAGATCCAAGTGAAAAGTTGAACCCTGATCCATGAAGTGCAACGGTTTTCAGGCCAATAAAACGTTTTGTCTAGGTTTCCCGGTCTAAACGAGACACAGCTGTAGATAGTGAACTAGGAGAACTAGAGCTTCAAGACTGGGTGAGATAATCTAACTCCCCTCCTTTCATTTATAAAATTTACAATAATCGCCTCTTGCAGTTTCCTAGCCGCGTCTCCTGGCCAAGAAATTGTCAGAAAAATCTCATTAATTGTACAATTTCTATTCCGTCAGTTCCATTTATTATGCACGTTATAGTATGTATCAAAAACTATCTTTGGTTAAGCCTCCTCTCTTATCTTGTCTTGAATTAACACCCTGAACCCTGAACCTTTGCTCGCTACTCACGTACAAAAGAAATGATATCCAATTATTTTCTACACTGAAGAATAGTGTTGATAAATTTACCTTCATTATAATTCCTGGTATCATAGAATACTAATTCCTCCACATATATCTAGTCATGATGCTTTCTTTACTTTCATTTCCGCATTTTTATTAAAAAACGCAAGATTTTAAACTAGCATTTTGGATATCAAAGATACGCAACTCCAAAAATGATTTTATGGAGCACCCCTTTGCTCCCTGCACCTCCCTGATACACAAAATGTCTGATTGAAAGTTGATGATTCGTCCATGCTTGGAGTTATGATTGATTATGTTCAGGCCCGACTCTGGGTTCAAGTTATACACGAGCTCAGGAGTGGATTAAAACTGAAGAAAACAGAGTATACTAAAACCCCAATAGGTAATATTACATGTACAATTTACAACTATATTCACGTCACCAAGATTGTATTTAACCATTTTCTCTTATAATGTTTCATAGGTCCCAAGGTTTGTCCGTATTCTTTTATTGAACTAGAAAAGAATCGTAATTGCTTCATCATACAGGGTTACCCACAAAAGATGAGACTTCAGCGACGACTGTACCGAAATTTAATGGTTTCCTGTTCTGGTTTAGTTGTAATCTTACTTCTTTTCTTTCTTTGGCAAAATATTTAGTTTAACATTTATACGAGACTACATTCAAGATAGAAGGTCAAATTCAAAGTTAATATTGAAAGAGATATAGGTCGCTATTAAAGTCTCATCATTTGTGGGTAACCCTGCATCTTTTACGGTTTTCTTTTAAAACAAAGTTGTTACCAAGCTTATAATATTTGCTTAAGCATCTTGTTTTAGAATATGAACTGACTCCCTATGAGATATTGATGGATGATATTAGATCACGACGGTACAAACTAAACAAGGTAATCTAGTAAATTTATTCAAAAATATTTCAGAAAAGACGAAAAAAGGTTAAGAAAGGGTCCCTTCTCCAGCCTTTTTAAAAATAAGTACCTGCCAAAATAGACTTAAACTAGAAGATATAACCTGATGGTGTAAAATAAGTACCTGCCAAATATAGACTTAAACTAGACGATATCACCTGATGGTGTAAAATAAGTACCTGCCAAATATAGACTTAAACTAGACGATATAACCTGATGGTGTAAAATAAGTACCTGACAAATATAGACTTAAACTAGAAGATATAACCTGATGGTGTAAACCTTTGACATTTCAATATTAGATTATTTGATATAATATAATTCATAGTTTAAGATCTAAGGTCTACAACATCAGGTTGCTCAGATAAAGGGATTAGAAAATCAGAGTTTGTGGCAAAGACTCAATTCCTGTGAACATCAGCTTTTGCGTATAATCAAAATATCAATTATCTGAAAATAAGATCTATAAAAATATAGTTTGTTCTAATAGCCTTTCAATCCAATAACCCAATTTTGTGTGTGAACTTTATTATTTATTAAAAGTAATCACATGATCGAAGATCAAAGCAAATATTTTCACGCTTGAACTACGATAGATGATTGTTATAAAGATTTTATGAACGCATATTTAAAACAACAACAATCCTTCATTTAATGCACATTTAAATTCATGGATTTAATTTCTTCGAATTTAAACGTAAAACGTTTCTATTGAAGTTGTTTAGAAGAGTGATATGGATAAATTTACTCTTTAGCATGGATAGGGAACCACCNGGGGGGGGGGTGTTGAACCAACGAATGTACATTCAGTTTTTCAAATGATAGATTTAAAATCTTTCCAAACAATGATAAACATTCCAAGGAACCAGTACTTTATGGTTTCCATGTTACATCGTGTGTGTAGGTAGTATATACATGTTGGTATGTAGTTGGTATATAGTTGGTATATAGGAGAAACAATTACAGTTAAAGCTTAAATTGTAGTGTTGTATGCTTTTACGCAGTGTTGTTGTTTAAAAATGTTTCGTTCTAGATTTCAACCTGTTGGAACTAAGGCATGGCACGTTCAGACTTTTTTTAAACCGCTCGTTAATGGTTAGTTTAACTCGTTCAAAAGACAAACATTTCAGAAATCGTTCTTTCTTAGTTTTCAAAATTAACAATGTTTGCCGTTCGTTCATTGAATCTATCTTCCGTTAATATTCAAAAACGTACCGTTCATTATGGGAACGAAACCCAACACTAGTTCTAACTAGGGTTACCAGCGAAAAATGTAGATCGTTTCGCGAAAAAAAATTAATTTCGCATTTCGTTCGCTGGCAAAAAAAAACAAAAATTTCGCAAAAAATGCAAAAATTTTGGCGAAAAAAATACGGAAGAAAAATTATTTATTTTGATTTACTTAAAACTTCTAATGCTGATCTGTCAGAGCAGAGAATTCCACAAGTTTTTTGTGCAATTAATTGTTGCAGCTATGGTTTTCGCGGATTTTTTTTCGCGAAAAAGTTTGCGAAATGTAAACGAAAATTTTTGCATTTTTTCGCAAAAGTTTTCGTTCGCTGGAAACCCTAGTTGCAACATTTGATGTAAATGTGTGCAGTGGAGAATTGGAAAAAACAGTAATGGGACAGTTTACCTATTCAGAATTACGAATGCAACTCTAAACTTGTTGCTCACTGCAATATTACTGTTATATCTGTAAATTCAATTTTGCTAACAGAACTTACAGTATAACTGTTTTATCTGCACTATTATACATAGTTGCGTTGATCTGTAATGTTGCTAACTGCAGTAGCCTCGTTTCTTATTGCATTAAAAATGTTTTTAAATGTAGAAACATTAATATAGAAAAGTGGGATTTAACATCAGTAGAACTAAGTAAGAACTAAGTGCTGTGTTGAGTGTAGATGATGAGTTGTTAAATGCAGTTGAACCAGTGTTAACTTAACTGGAACATGTCATTGTCTCAAGTAAAGATAACACATCTCATAGTTTCTTCCATGTGTGTCTGTAAAGACTTAATTTTGGTTTTATACTTTCTTTACTTTATTAACATAATTTTACTTTATTAACATAATTTTACTTTATTAACATAATTTTGTTCAACTTGGAAGGTTTAATTGGGAGAGTGCGAGCTGCTTAATTTTAATGATACATTGGATTCTTTTTGCAGAATTTAACATGTCCGAATATGCCCTCTAAAACTGGTTTTAAACTTTTATCGGACTCTAGTTTTTTCATCAAAATACATATTTGAAGAGTAATCCATCATACATCACTCCAATTACATTCCTGAAGCGCATCATTATAGACTAAATTATATAGGATTTTTGCCCTTTTGTTCTTAACAAAGAGCTGAAATAAAATGTACATTAAAATGTTTCTATTTTTGCTAATCCTTTTATAACAGAGTGTTTTAGTATTCTTTCAGGGAAGAGAGACTTTTTTATCTAAAGAAAGATTTGAGGAATCCTGGTACAGTTTAGTACAGTACAGTATAGTACAGTACAGTACATTTTAGTACAGGACAGTTTAGTACAGTACAGTACAGTTTAGTACAGTACAGTACAGTACAGTACAGTACAGTACAGTACAGTACAGTACAGTACAGTACAGTACAGTACAGTACAGTACAGTACAGTACAGTACAGTAGTACAGTACAGTACAGTACAGTACAGTACAGTACAGTACAGTACAGTACAGTACAGTACAGTACAGTACAGTACAGTACAGTACAGTACAGTTTAACGATATTTTAACTCTTTATCTTTTATCTAGGTGTTTGTTGATGGCAGGTTACCCCCAACACTAAAGAAGGATGCCCATGATGTTATTCTGGATTTCATAAGATCTCGGCCCCCACTGAAACCGGTAAAAATTTATTCCAGTAAAAAAATATTTATTTTGGAAAACTCAAATTATGAATTATGATTGTGATTTCTATTTTGAAAGCATAGTTTATGCTTTTGTTTTGTTGGTTTACGAAATAGAAATTAGATAAGACTGTCTGGTTTTGGTGGATGGAAAGCTAAGAAATTATTAATGAAAAATTCTACGAGGAGAACAGATTTTGAAGAGTAAATCAGTTCCGTAGATCTTGGTTTTAGGCTTATTTATCAAAATACAGTTTTACTACTTTCTAAAACTTAAGTGCTCTGTCAAGTTTTTGTCTAGTTTATCAATTCTTTTAGATATCAGCAACTCATACCTTGATTTCAGTCTAATTCTGTATTTCGAAACCAAAGAACTAATTTATGTTAATATTATCAACCTTAGACAATCTTCAATAAAAATTAAGTCTACAATTATTTCATTTTTTTCGTTGTTTATTTTTATTAAATACTTTATGATTCAATTTCACTCCGAGCATCTCAATCCATGGTTCATGATATGTAATATATATAATATATATACTTGCTTGGGAACCCAGCGCTGCCAAGGTTACTAAAAGTTACTCCCGCCGTTCACCCGCACTTAAACGATTTTACCGGGAAACTAAATTTTCGCCATTAAAATCGACCCACCAAGCTAAGAGCATTCCCGTGGGACTTCCGAGTTCTCCAATCAAAATTTGAGGCAAATCGATCAAGGGGTTTCTGAGTTATGATCGTACAAACAAACAAACTCCCAAACAGAGATTACAACTTCATATATATAGATATGTATTGTGTGTATCCTGCCTATAGTGCACTGCATATCCTGCTGATTTCATTTATTATTACAATCTACTTGCATGCTTGGAAATCTTATCTAACCATCCATCCATCAATCAATCAATCAATGCGCCAATCAATTAAGTCATCCGTGAATACCACAATTTAATACTGACCAACTTTCCGCTATGTTTAGGGTTTCCCAGAGTTCGTATATAGGTATAATGATGAAACAATTATTGTTTTAAAACCAAACGAGGTATTGACGTTGGTCTAGGGTTAACTAATTGCTATTAATTATTGCTTACACGTCTGCACACACCACGTCAAAGTACATTTACTTACAAGTAATATTTGTAGCTTTGTTATGTTTGGCTGTGTTTTTGACACCATCATAAACAAGTTGTTTTCATGTTTTACATAATATATTACTATTCAGAACCCTCTCAGACCTTACCTAATCTTCCCCTTTAAACATCCGTTCGTATATTAACCCCCGACTGGAAACCTTATAAAACTCAAACCGTCAAAAATGTTATTTAGTTCAGCCATTGTTTAATGCTTACTTGGAGTAAACAGTTTAAGTTTCCTGTATTAAATTTTCATCTTGTTTGTGAAAGCAATCTGACCCCCCCCCCCCCCTACTCTTTTGTCCATTCCAGTATTCCTTCTGAAATGCTTCACCTTCCTCCTACTTCTTTCTTCTCCTACTTCATTCTTTTCTTTTCATCCTTCTTTCACCTATCCCCCCGCTCTCTTCTTCCCCTCCTTCACCCTTCCTTCATTCCATCCTTTTTTCACCTTCCTTCCGCTAAATTCATTCATTCTTCACTTCCTCCACCACCCATCTTCATCCTATCATTCCTTCACTTTCCTCCCACTCCCTTCGTCCCATCTTCAACCCGCTCTTCATTCCATTCTTTTTACCCCCTCCTGCCACTCTTTTCCTCCACTCCTCCACCCTTTCTTCATTCCATCTTTCTTTCACCATCTTCCCACTCCCGTCTTCCCCATTTCTTTTTTACATTTTCCGCCTTCTGTCCCCTTCATTCTCACATTTATCCCTTACCATCATTTCCTTTCTTCCCCTTTCACCGATTTCCTTTCCCACAACTTCCTGCGTGTCCCTCCCTCCACCTTCCTTCCATTTTCTTTCCCTAAACCTCCTTCCTGTTTCATTCTTTCCTTCCACTTTTTCCTCTTTGCACTTTTCCGTCTTTCCCTCTGCCCTCTCACTTATTCCACAATTTTCTTATTCCACACTTTTCTCACTTTTATTTCTCTCCTTTTCCCTTTTCTCTACCCTCAACCTTATCCTGATACCTTTCCTAAACTCCCTACTTCCTGCCCTCCTCCTAAAATCTAACCTTACTCCTCCTAAATATTATTTTTAATTTTCTCTCAACTTTTTTCGCATTTTTCTCTCCCTGTACTACATTACTTCTGGTTTGTCCTAACTTTAAATCCGAAACTTGAAAATTACTTTTCATTCCTAGCTTGACATGACACGAGAATAGTAAATGCATTCTTCCACTCAGATAGTTTCAATGGAAGGTTTACAGTCCACATTTAACTGGTTGCCCTGGGTTCATATAAACCACAGGAATGTATTCTCATACCAATAGCAATTATTCGTTCAGACATTGTATTTTGCTATTTATGAGAACAGTATGATAAATCATTTTACATATACATACACTTTTAAAATTTAAAAAAAATTTAAGTACACCTTTTCTTGCAAGAAGAACTTCTTTCCTACGATCCACTTCTACTCGATTCTCTTCTTTATATATTGTTCTAACTGATGGGATTAATTAGTATAATGACATGAATACAAAGCTGCATTTATATATATATATAATATATAGTGCATTTATATATATATATATGTATATAAGTAACCCAGTATAAAAACCTGATTAGTGTCTTTTCAAGATTATGACATCATATCAAGGGATAATTAATCATGATATGCGTAATATTTTTATCGCTATAGACGCATCTACAGAGGGGATTTTTCGATACATTGAGGTCCATTTTGAGGTCCGTTTTGAGGTCCATTTTGAGGTCCGTTTTAAAACGGTCAAGGAAACCCCCCCCCCCCCCCCTCCTCCTGTTGTCTCATCCAGTTTTACTTTTATCAGCGTTTAATGTTTAATTGGTTTATAATAATGATTTGTTTTTTATCTACATTGACCCATAATTCAAATTTTACAGTGGTAAGTGGTTATGAAGACGACTTTTTTATTCAAGATTTGATTGTCAACATGCTTTTTTCGAATTACAAGTTTACAAGTAATCCAAGAGAAGCTTTTTTAATTGACAGTTTCTCTTGACTTCTATGGTTAAGTGTATTCATGCTCTTTAACAGCTTGATTTAAATCAAAATTAAAATAGAAAGTCGTCTTCATTGTATTGTTATTATAGCTTATCACTGTATTAACTTAAATTGTAATTAAAAGCAATTTTTGGTTGAGAACTATATTAAGTATGCATTCACATAATCCCAATACACCACACCTACATACAACCCCAAGCATACAAATCAAATAAATGCAGTTAAATCTATGATGAGCATTCAAAAGTGCACTATGGAAGTTTGTTTTTACCTTTTGTGTTGATAGTGCACGCGAAGTTTATGCGCTCAATTTGTGCATTCTGTGTGTTAGGAATGTGTGTGTTTAGTCGTTGTGTTGGTGTTCTTCAGGTTCAAGGTCGAGCTGTGGAATGCGCTCAACATTTTTAGTGGAAAATATTCTTCATCAAAAATTTCATAAGCTTTTTATTTATAAAAATTGTCGAGAGTTTGAAATATTAAAAAAATCTCTTCTTCTTTCAACTCCCCCCACCCCCCATCTGAACCCTGAAAGAACGGTACTGGTACATCTGTATCATCCATTCCTCGGTCTATAATTTATAAGAAAGAACGTTTTCATGATTCGAGGTTTCGTGAGTACATTTAATAAAAATCTACTTTGTGTTTATGGGGGACGAAGGGCATGAAGGGTAAACATGAGTTTGAAAATTATGAAGGGCGTATATTGAGTTTTGAAATGTAGAAGACGAAACACTAGGCTATAGTGTCTGACGAAGATGGTATGGTATTTATACGATGAATACACCATATTAAAGGTTGGGTGGGGTGGGGTGGGTTGGAGGAACATGACCTAAAACGTATAGACAATCTTGCATATATTACTACAATAAAAATATATACATGCTATGCTAGCTATTAATAGATTTTTTCACATTGTGTTTGAAATAATTTATTGAAAATTTATTATTTCTGATATTGCAATTTAAATTATTCCATTCCAGTCACGCTTTTGTTACCATAGAGAGAGAAGTGTTTATTTCTGATGCATTTTCTTCAAATTTTCTCGTTTTTTCTTTTCTTTCCTTTTAATTGATTTCATCAATCAATCTGGTTTTTATTATTTTATCTATTTATCTATTAAGGCTGGTGAGAGAAAACTACAGCTTAAACCAAGAAAACAATCTACTCCAGTTGAACTTCTTATGGAGTCTATTAGGTCGGTTTTATTGTTATTATGATTATAAAAACAATTAACATACTTTTATCATTATTATATTGTTGTTTTCCTTCAGATTATTATAATTATTATTTTTACTGGTAGCTTAAGTATAATTATTATATTATTGATTTAATTATTACAGGTCTGATCAGAGCAGAACAAGACTAAGAAAGACAGCAGGGCCGACTCTTCGACCTATAGGTAACAAAATTAGAAGCTAAACAGTGTGAAAAGAGAAGAAAGAGTAAAATATTGAATCATCTATTCACAGTACGTGATTGCACGGTCTCTAGACCTGGCTCAGATTTATTAAATCCGGTCCTTAGTCCAAAAGATTTATTAAATCTGGTTCATAGTCCAAAAGATTTATTAAATCCGGTCCCTAGTCCAAAGATTTATTAAATCCGGTCCCTAGTCTAAAAGATTTATTAAATCCGATCCCTAGTCCAAAAGATTTATTAAATCCGGTCCCTAGTCCAAAAGATTTATTAAATCCGGTCCCTAGTCCAAAAGATTTAACCGCATTGTTCTAAAAGCAGACTAGTATATTGGTATTTGATTAAATTTGGACTAAGTATTGTTTCAGAGGACTGATTTTTCTTTTTATTGTGGACTACTGTGTTTTGATATTTAAAAATGCATGTTGGTCAAAACTTGCAATAAATAAAATCTTATAACTTAATTAACATTGAAACATCGTCTCATTAGCTCAAAGAGTGATTGCACGAAGCGCCGTGAATTCCCATAATGTATAAACCATCTATCAATCTGAAAATCAACTTCAGCCTAGAGGCAAAATCTGAAAAGTGACGGATCTGTTATTTAAGTTTATAAAGAGATTACTTTTAGAGAAATTTAGGGCCATAGGGAGATCATCAATAGATTATCTTATCATTTTCTTGAATATTGAGTTTCAATCTTTTGCAGCAGAAATGAATCTCAATCCATATCTAAATTAAAAAGCTAGGCATGCCGGTCAAGCTTTTATTATGCTTCTTCTTGGATATCAGGGAACATTTCTTCGCAAATAAAACATTTTGATACTTTATCAGGGTTGTCCAGCCTTTAAAGCTTGTTGTGACTAATATGGTTTGCTCTATGTTGATATATATTTCTTGTTTAGAATGTACCAGATTAGAAAGCAGTCGATGTAATTTTCAGGATTGGGAGCCGAGTCCATTATCAAACAGGTTGATTTTGATTCAATATATATGTATAAACCATAATCATGTTTTTTTTTATCAACCAATATCATGTATCATGCACCCTGTATTCAATATCAACCAATCTCCCATATCCTATATTCTATAAATAAACGCATCTCCTATATTCCGTATTCTGTATCCTGTATCCTAGGCGTGTGATTCAACCTGACCAGGATCTGATGGACAGCCTTCTCAACTTTAGTGAAGACGAGGTAAAGGGGGACTTTTTATGATCACTAATAAAGAAAATTGATCATAAGAAATGTTCAATTTTAGATCAACCAAATCAATTTAAAGAAAATGCTTGAAAATAATGATGAATTAAAATGGAGTAACAGCACGATTTTGCTATTCTTTTAAAATTTATAGTACACACAAAATATAAAAAGATTCCAAGCTTTGCTAATGAATTGTATATTTGATTTTTAAATATTACATAACAATTATACTATAAAACATATTATATGTATATTATGTATGTTGCTTGAATCAAAATTATCCCTGGTACTGTGAGGTTATATTAAAATATGATTAGGATGAAGAGGATGACGATGATGAGAGTGACGATGGAAATGAAGAACGAGAGAAAAAGAAGAATTGGCACACAAAACGTAAGATAATGCAACTTAATCCAAATCCTAATCCGAGTAAAGGAGTCAGGGTTGGGGTTTGCTGCGAATGTTTTCAAACTACAACATACAAAGTGTCTCAACAAACATTAGAACAACAAATGTTGTTTTATGAAAAGGCGAATGCAAGGGTTGATTAAATAAAAATCCTAGATTTTTCGCCTTTTTTATTTAGCAAATGTAATTTCGAGTCAAATGTAAAAATTTGATCTCAAAGTTCGCAATTCATAAACATAAATTACAAATATAGTAGATAAAGCAAGCAATCAAAATAAGTCCAATTCTTATGTATTGTATTAACTTCTATAAAAGGTATTTTCTATATTTATATTTATATATTTCATAGAAAATTTAAAAACCAACGTATTTTTGAGTTATATTTTTATATACTGAATGATTAAAAATGCACAGTCAGAAAAAGAATGACTACAGAATTTTTAGATAAATTTTTCTCTTTTGTGAAAATATACGACTATACAAATGTACAAATGTACATTTTGTGTTCTAGTTCTAAAGGGAGAGAATATGGGGAACGATGAGGGTGAGAAAACCTGTTAGTTTTCTTTGGTGTTATAAATTTTGTCCCTCTTTTAATGCTTTTTAAGTTTTTTGTTTTCGTTTTTTAAAATCTTTTCTGATTTAAAAGAGCTTTTCTATTTCAGAACACATATTTTCAGTTTTCATTATTTGGTCAAAAAGGATTTTTAACGTAATTTTTATTCTTAGCGTTATTCATTTTTAAGATTAATTACTTTATTTTTGAATGGATAAATCTTTCTTGCTTAACCGGTTTATGGTCCCTAGATACTTTGTAGAAAAGAAAAAGCCAAATTTGCAAATTTGGTGAATTTACAATTACCCAATCATGATTTGAATCGCTTATTAAATGAAGTTTCAAATAAATTACGTTAACAGTCCTTTGTAGTCATCATACTCATCTCTGGGTCAAGGGTTATACTTAATATATACGATATCATAAGTTCAAGAGTGGTTTATTTGTCATCTATATAATAAAACAAGACATTCGTATATATATATATATATATATATATGTTGTCTATAGCCGGCCAAACGGCTGGACCGATTGGGCTGAACATTTTTGTGGACACTTATGGGTGGCCGGAGGGTGCTATAGGTTTTAAAAAAATATAATTTTTTGTCATGGGCAACGCCGGGCCATTCAGCTAGTTAAATATAAATAGAGGCATACATTAAGAAATTGATTACTCTTACTAATTAATAGCTGTAGAAACCAGCTTTGCTAGGAAACTTAAGTTTTCGCTTAAAGTCAAGGGGTTCATGAGTTATGATCGGACATAAAATTAAACAACCAGAAATTACTTTTTAGGGAACCCGTGGGTAATCTGGGAGGTAGCATAGGTTAAAAAATTAGAATTTTTTTCCCTTAAAAATATGAATTTTTTCTTTTTCAAAATTCGATTTTTTAAAATTTCACCAAGTTTTCCCCGTTAAAGCCAACCCACTCAACTTGGAACTTTAAACTAAGCTAAAAATATTCCCATGTTTCTACCGAGTTCTCTAGTCAAAATTTGAGACAAATTTGGTCCAGGGGTTTCTGAGTTATGATCAGACATCCAAACAAACACCATTTACTACTTTATATTTTAAGAAGATAGGATATATAGATTGGTACAGTAAAAACTCTAATTATTTTATTATCTTTTTAATTTGTGAAAACGGGAATTTTTTCTTCTCTCTTTATTTTTCACTTTAATTTATAAATATAATTTCTGTGAAAAAAATTATTTTCTTTTTAGTCGCCTTGGATTTAATTCTTCATGGACCTTCCCTTCTAAACCAGGAGAGGAGACACAGTGTATCTGTTTGTGAGACTCCAACTCGTTCAACTACCAGGGGAGAATACAATACATTAACTTTAAATCAAATAATTTGTTTTTATATTATTTTGTCAGAGGAAATCGCTGATTATGCTCACACAGTTTTTAAAATGATAAAATTGATTTTTGGTTACAAACAATGAAATTCTAGTGATGAGGCTTGTCTAGAACTGCATATATCTTATACTCCTGCCTTTTTTTGATAAGTTAAACTTTAAATATCTAGAAGAATTGTTAATTAATGTATTGCACCTGGAGTAGTACACGGAAACTTGGTCCTGGTAAACAGTTCTCTCTAGATTTGAGGAAGAAGGATAGAAAACCTGGAGTCCGGAAACAGCGAATCCAAGTAGACCTGGAGCTAAACTCTCCTCATTCCGTCCTGTCTAGTAGTTCGACATCGCTGGTAATTTCAATTTAATATTACTTTGTATGTAAAAAAGAATACATATAAGTTTTGGGACTTCCTAGTGTTTCTTTTTCTTTACACAAAACAGTAAGATTTCAATTGATGGGGAATCCGAGGTGCTTTTTGTTTATAAAGAAACTGAGTTTTTGCCACAAACTTGAATTTTCTTTATCATATTAAAGGTGTGCGACATTGGTTTGGTTTTATAAATTAGAAAATCAGAGTTTGTGACAAAAACTCAGTTCCTTTAGTGGTTTGTGCAATCGTAATATGGTCCAATAATAACAGTTGAAAAACTGTTTAGGATTCTAATGTGGACCCTGGGAATGATGAAGAGGAAGAAAATGAAGAAAATGCTGAGAAGATTAGTATTGATGAAAATCCAGTTTACAACATCAATACGGACACAATGCACGCCAAGCTACACTCGGAGTTTATCAAATCAGTAAGTTTTTTTTTAATATTTTTTGTGGATAAAACCTTATGCATAGGGACGTTAAAGAAATTGAGTTATCCTCAAACTCTGAGTTTGTAATCCCTTTATATTTTTGCAACCCGATGATCAAAGGTTTATGCCATTACGTCGCAAAGATATAGAAATTAGAAAATTTGAGTTTGTAGCAAAACTCAGTTACTGAAATTTTATCAGAAAAAAGTTGTTGAAAAAATTCTTAATTTTATAAAATATGAAAAAGTATTTTTTTAAAGAATTTACCCATGCGGTTTGATGGTAAAATGCTGCATTTCATAAATACACAAAAATAAAGTATTTTTAGAAATTAAAACAATGCGACAAGCATTGTAGATTTTTTGCCAGAAACCTTGAATATAATGAGAAAGCTTTGCATCAACTTAAAGAAAACCTAGAAGTAAATAATTAATCATGGATGAAAGTTTTTAATATTCTAATTTTTAGGAACACTGGGTTTCAGCTTTACAGACCATAGAACTCAGTTTAGAAGAAGTTGTTCATATAAGGTAGAAAATTGTTATAAAAATATTTAAAATCAAGAATAACGTTACCATGCATATAATTTTATTTCCTCTATATCTAGGATATCATTTGAACCATCCTATCCGTGTTTATCCAAGAATTAGCTCTTATCAGATTAATATTCTATTCTATTCTTAACTTCAATTCTATTCAATTCTATTCTATTCTTTTCTTTTCTATTCTGATCTTTATCACATCATTTTCGTCTCATCTTTATACATTATACATACTCACACGCCGTCACAGATCAAAATTATATGCACTTTCAAAAATAAAGTAGACCACCCTAACTCTAGCCTACAGACATACAACTCCCTCCCTTCCCTACAAATAGCTGTTCTTTGACCCTGCGTCCCCCTTTCCCCTGTCCCCTGTCCCCTGTATCACCTGTGACCCACGTCTGGCATTGTCGAACCATGATGTGGGGGTTTTGTATTATCCGTTAATATACTTAAATATCTGTTCCAAATTTCCGTTTCCTCCATATTAAACACCCTCCCCCCCCCTCTCCTCCTCCTCTTATCCTAACCTGTTCTTTGTGTCCACAGTGGGTGTTATATATCGGGTTTAATATCATAACTGTTTTATTTTCATACATTGCAGCAATCCTTATTTTCCCTGTCCAGATATATTCCGTTTGATTTAATAATTTTACTTAAAATACTGTCACCTAAGTTTTAGTGACCTTAGAATCAAATAATGCTTTAAAAGATTAAAAAGCACCTGAATCTGATAAAAAATCGTTTTTTTAATCTGGAATTAAAAAATGTTTTGTTTTTCGTTCTTGTAGAAACTTGATGATTAGTTTTCGAGAAAAATTACGATTAAAAATCGTAAGTTCGTAAATATGGATTACATCAGACATTTTTTTATCAAAAGGTCAGTTAAAATTTGTATAGCAATGTCTTATAGCTCATTTTTTCCTGCAACAGTCACTTTTATTTATTGAACTAGCTATTTTGGATACTACAACTTTCCCATCCACTGTGTGTGTAGTCACCCCCCCCCCCTCCACCTTAACCCCACATCTGACATAACCTGAGTTATAATTGGTTTGGGAAACCTCGTCGGCATGTTTAGAAGGAGATCTTTGCTCCATGTTATACTTTTCAAACCCTCGACCTCATTACAAACTAAAACATTTTTACTTGAAAAAGACTCATATGAATAGGGTATTATTGTGTACTGTCAGCTGAAGAGATACAATAATTTTTATTCATTATTATCTCGTTAAATTGATGTTTGAGGATCAAAAAAGTGTCCAGATTTTTTGACACGATCAAATCCACTAATATTCAATGAATAAAATATTAAACCGTCTACCATTCTCCAGGTCTGTGCTGAGTAGAGCAGAACTTGAAGCTATTCCTCTAGATAACAATCTCAAGGAGGATGTAGTGAAGGGAAAGGTTAGTGTGTTTTATATTTTCTCCTGTAGTTCTCGTTGTATGGGTTTCTATACCTGAACTCTGAACAAGGTTTTATGAGCTGCCATGAATTATGCTTGAGTTTCACAACTTCCCATTCAGTTTCAAGAATTAGGAATGTACGTGTTCTAATGGTGAACGAACTGTAACTACTTGTATTGGAACGACATTTTTTGCATTATTAGATAAGATTTTAAACAAAGATGGCTTGGTCCTTACTTATCATAAGTAGCTTATAATAACCATAATTAAAATTAAATCCGTCCTGAAAAGGTTAAATCTGTAGAATCTGTAAATATGATTAATTTTACAAACATAGCTAAAGACGATCAACAAAAATATATAGAAATTAGTTAAGCAGAAAAAATCTAGAATTGCTAAAGGAAGTCATTATTTTGAAAAAGGTTTCATAAAAGGGGGGGGGGGGGTAGTTAATTGTGATGTTTACTATTTATTTTACATTGCACGAGCTTCGATTTATTTTCTACTTTAAATATTTATTTCTGTCACTGATTTCACACTCAAGAAAATATCGATTGACTCAAACAGTTTCAGATTTCTAATCCAATCTTTTCAAAGTATCATTTCAATATGTTGATATGATCCTTCGTTTATGGTATAATCTTTAAAACAGTCAAATAGCCAAGCAAAAATGTTAATATATCAGTGTTTTGGTTTAGTAAGAATTCAAACTCCCATTTCTCGNAAATCTTTTTAAATTTCGTAGAACATTGTCTATACTTTACAGCCACGTTCTCTAACCCGGTTTAAAGGGTAAGTTTGCAATCATCTGAAAAGTTTATTCAATTTTTCCCTCTCAAGTAAAAGCCAGCAAAAGGTTTCAACGAAATAAACAAAAATTTTAACTATATATGATTGTTTATCAGTATAAATATTATATATAGATAAGTACATTATTGCAACCAGTCCCAATATTCAACCTATGCATCTTGGAACAGTTTATTCTTCTTGCTCGCTCTTTTTCTATGCCTGGGGATTTTTAAAACTAGAGGAACCATGGTTTGTATGGAAGCACAGCTTGAAAACTCTAATGTGCAGGGAAACTATGCACATCAGTATACAGACAGGGACTCTCAACAAACATGAACAGGGTCACCAATTATACGAGAAAATAAATCATATCTGCATGCAACAGACGTTTGTACAAAAACGAGACAATATGTTTATTTTTCTGGTGTTTTCCTGTTTTTTTAGAAAGGTTCACTTTCAAATACAGCGTTAACGAAACGTCTTAGCATCTTCATGTAATCCCAATGTTTGTGATAGATAGTAAAAATTATAAATATATGAATGAATAATTTAATATTCAGAGAGATATCTAGAAAGATACATATAGTCTAGAAAACAATGACAGATAGACAATAAACAAACATATGAGGTAAACTCTGCAAAATATTTTGCAAAATACTTTGCAAACGGGATGAATGCAACCTGAGCCAGAGTATCTGTAGAGGGGTGTGGGAGTAAAAATATAATAGGCCAAAGAGTGGGATTAACTAGGGAGTGGAGCATAGTCTGAGGTAGGGAAAGAATACAGAGTCAAAGAAAATATAATTATATCATAAGAATATCCCGGTTCTAACTTGATTGGAAATTGGAAATAGGTTTTAAAAACTTACAGAGATCGACTAGAGTAAATTCTTTGTCTTTTTCTAAAACATGCTTTTCTCTAACTCATCAATTATATGAGAAGGAATTGAAAACAGAGTGAAGTTGTATTGTTGAATATCTAAATCCTTTACTTTTTCCGCATTCACAACTTTAGTATGTTTACAAAGAAAACAGTTTCTTGGCTGTTAGATAATGTCATTAAAACTTTCTCTACAGTTTATCCAGCCTGCTTTATAACCTTAAATGCAAGCAGTTTAATTGAGGAATGTAAATTACTGTATATACTAATAGATGTTGCAGAATATATCGGAGTTAAAAAAATATGAATATTTCTTGATATGATAACTAAAGTTCCTGTAAATCCTGAAATTACCGGAAGGACGTATTCCAAACAAATTCTTTTCTTAGTTTTTGTTCAAATTAACCTAAATTTCTCTCAGTTTATGTTACTGGTGAATTTGTATTCTATATTTAGAACTAAATACAGGTTTATTGATCTTATACTGTAGAGTGTAGATTAATCAATTGCTGGAAATCTGTTTAGGATTCATTCTCAAAGGAATTGGTTTATTTTTAGAATCTATTTTTAGTTTTTTTATTGAAGATTGAAGGGAAATTTTCTAAATTCATGAAAGGAAAACCGTGAGATTCAATAATGTTTCATTTTACAATAAAAATATGTTTAACATTTCTAAACTCTGAAAGAAAATATCTTTCAAGCTGTTCAGAAAACAGCTTAATAGTTTAGAACATATTTTAACCTTCACACATTTACTTTCATGTTAGATATATGAAACTTACACTTTTTGAGGACAAAGAGTTTTTCCAATGTTAGTATATCATCATTATTTGAGTAATTTCTACTTTTTCTATTTTTCAGCTCTGCTTTCTGTGCATGAGAACTAGGTTTTCTCTCCTGGTCTGGGGAGTTCGTTGTCAGCTCTGCTCGCAACAAGTTTGCTCCAGGTGCTCCAACAAAATGAGGATTCCATTGGAGCACTTCTCATCCGTCCCAGCCTTTGCTCTTTCTCCACATACACCGGTACTTTCGCCTGAACCTCAACAGGTAAAAAATAAGCATATGTATTAGAGTTCAATCATTTCTCTTTTTCATCTCTAATGACAACTAACTGTTTAAAACTTTTGAAACAACCCACATTTCATTTAGGATGGAGTTTCAAGCTCAACTCCAGACATACCATTTTTCCCTGGTGGAGGAAGTGCTGGCTCCGCCCCAACCTCCCCGAACCCTAGACGGAGAAGCCAAGAAGCCTCAAGGGAGGGTGCTAGAAGTTCATTTGCCGGACCAATTTCCCTTCCTATGTTTACAAGTCAAGGACCTACAAAAATCAGTGCTAGGTACGTCTAAATGTTGCTTATATATATCTATTGACTTTAAAAAGTCACTATAATAAAATAAAGAGATCTAAAATGGATATTTCTAACATTTATTTTAAAAAACGAGTGTTTTGAAATATTTGCATTTAAGGCGGAGTTAAAATTGGTTGATTTAGAAATTAACAAAGGAATTAATGATGGATATTTGATGGTACTTCATGGGAGTGTTGTAGAGCTTCATGTTGGTGGAGCAGATCAACAGGAACTGGGGCAACAGGGCTTATCCAACCTAGTAGGCAGAGATCGCGGCTTTATCATGCTGGATTTGAGCGATTATGTTGTCTCTAGAAGTGGAGTGCATGATAAACTGGGAACCCTCGGGTAAGCCTGTCTGCTGCTAATTGAGTATCTGCGTCATCATCATAAAGGAGTCAAGAGGCTCCCTGTGTCGGAGCTGTTACTAATTCAACTGTCCTAACCTGACTGACTGGGATGTGTTATAGAGGGGTGAGGCGGGGAAAGAAGGAGCAAGGGTTACATGTGTGTACTTCATGGCGGAAATGGATCTTGTGTACACATGCATCTTGAGAAAAGGCTACGGCATTTGAGTCGGAAAAATCGTCTTCCTTATATTTCGAATTTGTTTTAACAATATCATTGCTCAGAGAAAGATTGTGTTTCGGTGTATTCAAATTATCTCTGCAACTTCAAGCGCAGTCATAAACCCTTGTAGGTTTACATTTAAACCAAGCCACAGATTTAAAGGATATTTGCAGTTTTTATGTGAATTCATCTTTTTTATTTATTCTCAAAAACGTCTTAATTTAATAAGAAAGCTTGAATTTGAAATTTATAGTCATTAATTTTAGTTTACATTGATCAAGGATGTAATGCAAGGAAAGTTATTTCAGAAGTGTACACATCTTTTGTACTGCAGTGTACTGTCTCTGTGCGATAATGTAAACACAAGACGGATGTCAAAGCCTGACATGGGATCCATCTTTCTTATAAAAAAAAAAACAATGAAATATTCTGTTCATGGAAAACTATTATGTGAATTATCAAAATTATTAAAATTTAATGCTTTTAACCTCCTGGGATACTAAACGAACACTGATGCATCTATTTTTGTTTACAAATTCCGCCCAAAGAGAACTGGTATCAACACGACCGCAATTGACTTTCCTTGCATTACACCCTTGACATTGATACTCTGTTAATGGTATTTTTTAGTTCGAATAATAACTTTATAAATTGAAAGAAACAAGAAAAAAAGCTTGAACCAACAGCTTTAGATCTTTGATCAGAAAGAAAAAAGTTTTATAAAATTAACTATTTTAGATTTGGAGAATTAAAAAGAGTTTTGTCTCGTGAGGATACAAGGAGTAGACGGGAAAGTATTGAGGTAAAGATACTGTTCAAACATCTTATATTATTCATAAGTTTTTGCCACAATCTCTGATTTTCTAACCGTATATCTTTGTAACCCAAAGTGGTAGACCTGAAATATTTCAAACTATGAATTGTGTTAGATCAAATAAGCTATGTTTGAAATATTAAAGATTTACACCATCAGGTTGCAAAGATAAAGAGGGGAGAATATTTATGTTCTTTTTAATAGAACCGATTTTTTTTTCTCAGGGTACACTGCTGACAGTATGTACGGATTGTAAGGAGATGGTTCTACAGGTAACACCATTTTTTTATCCTCTAAGGGACAGTTCTGATATTTGAAAATGAATAGCCATGCAGTTATATAAATCCTGTTTTTTTTTATAAAATCGTCTCAAACAATCAAAATCTTTGAGGAAGGGGAGAACAATTTAAACAATTCTTTTTAAATCCTTATTTTCTTTTTGCCCCCTACTTTATATATGTATATATGCACTTCCACAATTTTTTTCGTCGAATTAATTTTTTTTACATTAAACTGCATTTAAAAAAATAAGGAATTGATAATAAAATAAAGTATTATTAGGTTGTCAGATCTCAGAAAACTGCACAGAGATTGCAGATGGCAAAATCTCTATATCTTCAACTCAGCCCTGGGTATAAACAAGAGATATACTAAGATACAGGATTTAAGAGATACAGGATGCAGTGAAGAGAAAATAAGATGCACTATACTTTGAAGAGATTAATGGGATACAGGATACAATGAGCAAATCACAAGATACAGGATACAATGAATAGCCTTCATGTGAATATGAATGGTTCCGATAATATACAGGAAGTGAAAGAAACTGAAACAAAGCGTGATATGGAATGCGTTCTAAGCAGTACATGTCAGTAACCATTGTGAATTGTGAACTTTTAAAAACAAAAACATGATCTTTGACCCATCTGAACCCATTGTGTATCCGTCTTCCAAATCTTTTCTTAAAGTTTTATTATTTTACCCTCCTTCAAATATGATAAAGTGTGTACTCAAAAGGTCGAAATATTAAAGTTTTCTATAAATGGTTTAAAATTTAAATTCTCTTATATTTTTATTACTACGGGTTTTATAAGTTGGGATCATCTTTGTTTTTGATTTCTCTGGATATCTGCTAAATTCTGTGATAGTTCTTCTAAATAAGTCTGCAAGCTGTAAAAGACTAAATACACAGATTACGCGCACAGATAGGACAAACGTTTAAATCTATTTTCGTTTTAGCACATACGTTTATTCTTACCTTACCATTCTAATCTGTATCAAGTAACCTTTATCTTGGTTTCTTAATTTCAATTGACTGGATTCTAAACTAGGTTACTTTGCATTATTTTTACTAAACTTTTCCTCTCTCTCTCTTTTGTCCTATCTGTGTTTATATTGTTTAAGATTCTCAATCATTTACGCATTTTAAATGCGTAGCGTGGAAAAGAGCGAGAATGGTTGCAAAATACTTTAAGAACAAATCACCCGTATGTAGACAGAATTAAAAAGCAGCCCAAATTAATTTTGAAAAAAGTTCCAATTCAGTCCAAATCTTTTAATTTGATTTTGCCTTATTATAAAGATTCTGTTTTTAATTTTAATCTTTGGTGTTTTGCTGACAATGAATTTAAAAAATGGGTGTAATTTTTAAAGTTTTTTTCAACCGCTTTGTTAAAAACTTAATTGTTACTAATTCAACCAATTTCACTACCACTAATGTATGTAATGGACAATGGTATGTGATCTACATATTTGACCATATTGGTAAAAACCAGGCTGTGAGACTTATCGTAGAAGTATCTTTCTTCACAGAAATAAATATTTTAAAGTGTAAAATATTTACTTATTTTCAATAATTTTCAAGACAACCTGACTCAAACAAGTTTATCATGAGTTAGTCAAATACTGAGCTAATCATCACTCTAACCTTATATAGGCATATTTGCACAAATGACGTCAGTAATGTAAAATATTTGACTGAAACCGGTTCCTCTAAATGAAATGCGGGAACGCTTTCAAAAATTGTATGGATAGCGTGGGCGAAGAAGCCGCAACTCCATCTTTGGTGATTTATCAGAAATTGAAATAATTCTCAGAACAAAGATGGGATCAAGAGTTCTGTATAATATAATTGAATATGAGGAATATTGCAAATTTTGAAAACATGTTGAGTAGATATTTATTACAAATCAGCATTGAAGAGTAAAGTATTCTAAAAAGAAACTAATTGACCAAAGGTTGGAAATTTTGTGTTCGTTAATCTTGAACGTTTGATCTCGACATCCAATATGGACCCTTTTAAATTTGAGGATAAATGGTTAATCCCAAATGTTCTGCCTTCAGAGGGGAAAACCTTTGTATCTTAAATATATTTCTTTTTGGTATAGATTTTTTGTTTGGATTTTTATTTGTAAAATAAGATCAAACATGATTAGTTTGATTTCCAAGGCACAGTTATCTAGACAACTATAAAAGTTATTCATCAGATTTTAAGACCGTGTCGACTTTGAAGTGTCACAGAGATTTGGGTTTTTGGTTTACCGCACCAACTCGAGCATACATTTTTTTTAAGCCTTGGACAGGCACATTTCAAAACTGCAATTTGATAGGCGTTTTTTTGCAAAATCCTGTTGGAATTTTGCTTTAGAGTTTACTTATTTGGGTTTGCAGTGAAGGAATGATGAAGCAAAATGAAACAGCAATTTAATTTCTGCATTGTCCGAATACATGCTTCGATCTGGTCAAGCTTATTGTTCCATTGTGAGTTTATTTGAGCAGTTTTAAATGTAAAGGATATTTAAACACATTTATTATCATATCAAATTTTTACGACGTGTTTTTCTCATTGCGAACCAACTGAAACTTTCTTAAGCCAGTGATTATTCAGGTTTGAATTGATACTTTACATTTTTAAGATCTCAATCTTAGGATTTAGAATGGACGGTTTCTACACTTATAGAGATGGATAAGCCGTAAAAAGCCTGGGATTAAGATACAGAATTTCAAAATATACTTTTAAAAGAAACCCTAACGAAGGAGATAGGCCTTTAAGGGTATGTTAAAACAGGCATAAAATTGCTCTTCACTACATCTCTAGTTAGTACACTATATCACAAATTCTTGTTTATAAAAATATATTATGTATATTTCTACAATGGAGCTGCAATCTGATTGTGTAAATCTTTTATATTTTATAGACTATTTGATCAAACATAATTCGGGTTGTAACGATACAAGCATAAATGAAAATAAAAACTCTTAGCGAGTGGTCTCTTCCTTTAAAAAAAAATAGAATTGAAAACTTAATAATTTAAAGCATACATTTTAAGGAAGTTAAAAATTGAAGAAAAAAACACCAGTGAAAGATCGAAATGAATTTCTACAAATTATATTAAAATAGGTATCAAAAGCTGTAATTTCAAGCCGTTGAATACTGTTCACATTTTTTTTTTTTTTTTCATCGTACTTTTAAATTGTTTGATTAATGGCTTCAATACAAAAATCAGTTGTTCGTCTCATAGCTTTAATTGTCAACAAATCCCTGTGAAATTGACGTTGCTGAATTTAGTGTTTCAAGACAACCCTTTTGATACCCGGACACAGGAAAGGAACTCCTGCGTAGGCTCATTTACAATTCATATAGTTACGTACACTTCATTAATTACTCTTCCTATAATTACATTTGATAAAATTTGCATTTACAATTCATATAGTTACGTATACTTAATTAATTACTCTTCCTATAATTACATTTGATAAAATTTGCATTTCCAAATTCTAAATTGATTTTACATTGATATAGCCGCAGTGCTCGGCCCCCTAGTCTGTTCTAGCCGCAGTGCTTGGTCAGAAATTGTCATAACCTAACCTAACCCAAAATAAGGCGAGAGACATTTAACATTTAAAGGGGGTGGTAGTGTAATTTCAAGTGACCCTCCATGAAAACATGGCAATGCCCGATTTACAATTTGTACAACGGTATCCTTAAAACCTTTGAGTTTTCGTCGAGTACACAAATATGTGTGTGTAAACTTATCGAAAACAACAACTTTAAAGTTTAATGCCCACGATAGTATAATAAAATTAAGGGTTTATCTGTTCAAGTAGAAAATTTTTTAATATATTGTAATATTCAATATAGTGTATTTAAATTTATATATGATACTAGCTGAAGTGCCCGGCGTCGCGTCGCCCAGGTTACCCGTAGTTACTCCGCCGTTTACCCGCGCTTGGTATTAAAAATAGTCAAAATAAAGCCATATGATTTTATAATAATAAGAAGTGTACATTAATAAAGTTATTGTTTGTGTGTAATATCGAAAAATCTGTAGAATTATGGTGTTTCACCTATACCCTCCTTTAACATATTGCAAAATTGCACAATTATTCAGCAATATTCTTGGTATGCAAGGTGTAGTGAGTCTTTGATATTTATTAATTTAAAAACTCTAAACCTTTCACCTTTATTCCACACCTCAAATATTTCAATAAATACCGTGCAACAATCAATTATTACTAAACCAATTTGTCAGAAGTCTAATGATAATAATCTTACAGTCTTTCTTGTCAAAATGTTTCATTGTCAAACTTGTCAACCTTACAGCCTGTCTCTCACCTAATCCTTGCTCGCCATTCTCTCTAATTTCAACTGTAGCCTTTTTCCTATCTTCCACCCTTTCTTGTCAATCTTTCTGTCCTAATTGTCTACCAGCATTTTTCGTTGATCTACTATCTTTCTTTTCATGCGATCAACTTTTCTTGTTAACATCCTATCCTATATTTTTGACCTTCCAGCCTTTCTTGTCAACCTTTTAGCCGTTCATGCTAAACTTTCAGTTTTTTCTCTACAAGATACTTCGAGGAATGTTGAGGTTTAAACATTTTTTTTTGAAGAAAAAATCGTTTTTTATTTTTTTGTGTGTAAACTATACTATTGACCAGAGTGACCGTCAGGGTGAGTTGTTCCCCAGGTCTAATTTTTCTTCTTCATTACTTAGATATATATTAGTAGATACCATTTATACCATTTAGAACTTTTGGGAGGTTGGAAAATGTAGCGAATAAATGGTTTGAACAAATTTAATTTAAAAATAATTTCTACTATCAAAATGATTGAAATCCGTAAGAAATGCGCGAAATTTTGGATAAAAATCCGCGAAAATTTTCAAAACAGTACACAAAATGACGAACTTTTTGCATAAAACATGCGCAGTTTGTCTCACACAATATGGTAAAAAGTCGACTAAAATTCAAAAGATTACTCCTGCTATTGAAACCAAGATCAAATGCTTCGTCTGGAACCAGTTTAGTGTACAAGCGGCCAACTATCCTAATGTTAATTGCAACAGCTGTCACAGAAACCTCTATGATCTTGACAAGAACAAGGTGGAATACCTGGGAAACTGGATAGAGAAAATATCAAAGGTAAATATAAGTTGTTTTTTCAAGTATAAGCACAATTAGATGCTTTTAATATATGAAGAAATAAAATAATAATCTCTGTTTGGTTATGTCCGATCATAACTCAGGAACCCCTCAATTAATTTGCCTCAAATTTTGATTGGGGAACTCTGTAGAATCATAGGAATGTCTTTTTGTGGTTTAATTATTTAAAGTTAAGTGGGTTGACTTTAATTTCCAGTCAAAGAAAGGTTCCAAGCTAATTTCATATATAAGTATATATTTAACTTAACTATATATTTGAGAATCCAGCTTGGCCTAGAGTTTTCCAAATAAAAATCAACCCACACAACAACAAAAAAATTCTAAACCAGGCTAAGAAAATTCCCGTGGTTAAAGCGAGTTTCCCAATTCAAATTTGAGTCAAATCGGACCAGGGGTTTATGAGTTATATTCAGACATACAAACAAACAAACAAACAAACAGATAGACAAACAGAGATTATTCTACTTTATATACATACATAGATGACGTTTCTCTTCTGTTTATAAATTAATCTTTCTTCGAGTATTTAAAGTCTAAGTATAAGTATTTGCTAACTATAATTGTAAACTAAAAAAAAATTTATTTACTGTGTTAAAAAAATATTGGATATCATTAAAATACTTGATATGTTTAGATTGACAGATCCATGGTCTTAGAAGATCCTCAAATATAAATCTGAAAGCTGAATAATTGGCTTCATCTAATGTATCTTTTCCTAAACCTGTAAAGTCTTCAAGATTATGTTCAACTTGTTGTTCTATTGCTCAGTTTATGGCCTTTGTTTGAGAGCTGGTTGAGCTCAAATTACATAATGTTCAGAAGATATCAAGGTGTAGGATTAGATGGAAATAATGCAAGTAACTTTCTAAAACTGACAGACAAGCTTAAAGATGATTTAAAAAACGATAAAAAGTACAACCTATTGCCAATTGTTCACTGTCTGAAAAAGTTTCAAAAACATCAAGCAGAAACCTTTGGTATGGTAGTTGGAGAAAATGTGGAAACTGCTGTTCAAGAGTTCAAACAATCTTATAAAGATTTGATCGAATATGTTCAATACACATTTGATGGTGTTGAACTGAGTGTCACCTGGAAAGTTCAGAACATGGCCTAGGAGTTTACTGTGAACAAACAGGAGAAGCTATT